ATTCTCACCAACACGACTCAAACCTCGCTCGTGCCGACAAGAACCAAAAGAGCCCCAACGAAAATCCCGGTCGAATCGAAGTAATTCCTCACGATGACGAGACCATGCAGATCAAGAGGCACACCAAGACCAATGAAAGATCAAAACATAAGCTTAAACGCTCCGCGCTGAGACGAGATCAGCCACATGCAGAGAATGTGACTCGAATCAACACAACCGCCGGGTTCCCAACTTCCTGTGAGCCGGAAGAGACTAATCAGAGAGGCGTATCAAGATCCCAATTGACCCTGCTCTCGGGTCAGAAGACACCGATCTCCGGCTGTGTCACAACCACATCCCCAATCAGTAGATCGACAACACTCCGGGAGTGGCACCGCAACCCGCGGTGAGAAGCCCGAAGTCCGTCGCTAGGCTTCCGATTCACCACGCACGCCCCGCTTGCCTGCGGGGGAGATCACAAAGAAGAGAGAACCTCTCTCTCACTCCCTGTAATCTCTCCTTTCGAATTCACAGATCACAGAATTCGAATTCTGTAATTTTGAATTGATTTCGAACTTTGTGAACTCAAAGTTTGGGAATTCGAATTGAATTTGAATTCTGCGAATTCAAATACTGTGAGTTCGAATTTAATTCGAATTTAAAACGAATTCAATTTCAGATGCATTCAATTCAATTCGATATCTCCCTGTAATTCACTACCTATCGACCCTAAAGCGATTCGTTCCAGGACATCAAAAGTCCCCAGGCAGCGAATCAGCCGACTTCAACACAGGTTGAAAAATCCTAGTCTCCCACGACGCATCTCAATGCTGCTGCTTTCCGAGTGAGCTGTGCTGGACCGGCAAAATCCGCAGCAAAGACAGGACTGCACGATCGGTGGTATAGTGTGGATACTGATCCTAGAAATGTCGCTATTAGCTCTCCTCCTCTTCGCCGACCAATTCCCCACGAACACTGTAGTTCTGTGGAGTAATATGTGTCGTGGAGCGCAGAGTAAAGATCTCCTTATCCGCAGTCTCAAATCTTTCACCGGATCGAGCTCTCGGCCCTAATCCAATTGGCTCCGGGAAAGCAATGAATCACATGAGCGGTTCCCAGAAGGCAAAAGAGCAAATTCTCAAGCTGTCCGAACACCTCTGATCGCTCCATCTATCAAATGACTCCCGTCTTTCCTCCACCCCTGCGGAACTCATGGTGCTGGCCCGCCATAGCTGGCACTCCTCGAGCTCTCGTCTCCTCCTTCACTGCCTTTCCTCGATATGCTTGCTCGCTTCCGCGATACTACGTACAACACTACTACCGCCACCCCACTACTACCGCCACCCCAATACTGCTGTGACAGATTACTTCGTTTACTCCGCGAACCGAACGAACGTACTGAAATCAAGCTTCAAACTGAATTTTCCCTCTTCCCGTCGAAGATTATCGACCGAAATCCAACAATATTCTCAGTATTCCTGTCACTGACGGCCCCAGACCGTCACCCAAGATCAACGCTCTCAGTCGATCAACCTACTTCAAATCTCCAGTCGAGACTACCGGAGTCCACAAGCAAAATTGAAATCACTAATCCCAGGACAAGAGGCTAAATTCTGCAACACCACCAGCAACGATTCTTTTTGCTGTTTTACAGCGAGTTCTTCGAGTGAAATGTACGGGAAATTCCCCACTGGAATTCCCGTCGGTCAATTACCCTACTGGCAACAAACCGTCACCGTCACAAACATGAGTCAAGCCCAACCCACTCCACACTCGGAGAATCCAGGTCGACGCAAAGGGGAAAGTCACTCTACGCTCCCAACGCTTCCAGGCTCGACTCGAAGAACTGACGTTCTTCGAGCCGTCCCCGACTGTATACCCCTCGTGATCGGAACCCTACTTTTACGGCTAAATATAGTAAGTGTCTGAACTTCGTGAGCCGACTCGTAACTACATGACAAAGTTTCTAGCCGCATGACTTGATACAATTTTTAATGAAGTATAAGATAGAAAAAACTATTACACTTTGAAAAACATAACAATTGATAAATAAAATATCTACAAGTAAATTTAATAACAAGTCGTCTGGTTTTGTCAAACTGTAATTTGCATTAACTCTAATTATTTTTCATGCTTAAAATATCAACCTGTAAATTATATGAATATATGTATGTAATGTTTTATGCAAAAAATTAAAATTTTGTTTTCAATATCAATTTATAAAGTTGTACTCATCTACATTCAAACTTCAAGCAAGATGGGATTTGTTTAGAGAAAGCTAGAAATAACATTATGAATTTGGATTATCTCTTCATAACATATAATTGCAATTATTTCATCTTGATAGGATAAAATAAAAATTTTAATTTTCAGAATAAATGTAAGTTTATTTCAAATTCTATGAGTCTAGACAAGTGATTCTCAAAATTCATAATTTCTCATTTTAAATTTCTTGTGATTAGATGGAATCTTCAGTACAATAAGCCGATAATAAAATGCTCAAAGCTATGAATACTTTTCAAATGTAGATTTTTTTTACATAAAAACAGCTCAATATTAATGATAAAATGGTGTTGATTAGTCTTGTGTTAATTAAAATCATATGGGTTAAAAAAAATTTATATCTCAAAATGATAATTAAAATATTTAAACTTACATTGACCATTTTACATATGCCTTTTTTAATTATAAAATAATTATCTACAAACTTTATAGAAATTTGACAAAATCAAGAGTTTAAGTTTTTTAAATTTTCTTTAATTTAAGTATATTCGTTGATACTTCATTAAAAAAATTAGTATAAATTTTTAAATATGGAAATATATCTAATCAAAAAATTAAAACTATAAAAACTGTAAGAAGACATAATAAAGAAGAATAATTTTTAATTTAGAAAATTTTAAAACAGGTTTTCTAGTGTAATTGTTGCATATAAAACAATCAATCAGCATCAATTTGAATTGTATCATTATATCTGCCTGATATTTATCTAGATAGCAAAAACTGGATATTTTATTTTGAAATTTGACCAAAATTACAAACTATCTATATTTTGAGGTCTACAGATAATAAATAATATTCAAATTTGTTAAAATTGATTGATTTTTATGAAATTTTTAGATAAACGGTTGGTGCATTTGTGATTGTTGATGTAAATCTGCTTATATTGATATTTTGCTATTTCAAATGATACTATTGATGTATTTTATGATATTAAACTTTGTATTTTGAAACTATTTATGTCCTTAACTATTTTCCATTACACTTCATTCATAAAATATTTCATGTCATCTGATATTAATAATCATAAGACTTGGAGTAAAACTTCAATGTGCATCAATTAAATAAATGACAGTATATGAAAGGTTGCATGAAATATTATGAAAATCAAATTTACATGTAAAATTGTCATAAACTTATCAATGCATGAAATTTCTCTACAATATTTTTTTGAAAGAAAATTATAAATTTGTTTCAAAAGATAAATTTTAATGATTTTTTATCATAATTAATTTTATAATATTATAAAATAAATATTTATATATTTTTTAATTATATATAAAAAATTCTAAGTTAAATTCATGTTAAATTTATATAAAATGTTTCATACATTTGATTTTTATAAAAAATTTATCATTTCTTATATAAAATCAAATTTTTTGATCAATAGTTTAGAATTTATCCCTAGTTTAAAACAGTGTTCATATACTTATTTTATTTCCTCTGAGTTAAAGTTGAATTTGAGTATGAAATTTTTTTCAATATTATACAATAATGAATTGCCAAAAACTCAGAATTTTCTATGTGCTTCTCTTTTTTAAAAAAATCGGCACATAATGGCAGCAGCAATGGCCTTAACATAATACTTGAATCATTTAATTTACCTCAAGTGAAATTTTGACAAAAAATCAATCCATATACAATCATTTATACAATACATAAAATAATAAAAATATTTTACTGTCACATATACACACTAAGTCTTTCATTTTAAATTTGAAAAATTTATTTAATGATTACCATGTCTTGACACAATTTGCATGATCACAGTTGTGTTTAAAAAGTTTGATGCTAAAACTGTAGTTTTAAGTAGTATTTTGATGAATATTATGGATGGAATCAAAAAAATATCTGTTTCTATAAATAAAAAAAAAACTGATTTCATGAAATTTTTTATGAAAAAACTAACATTCAGTTTTAATGTATTTTTGGATATTTGACTGCAATTAAAATTTATGTATGGACATTTATTGACATTATATTATGCATTCTTTACAAATTCGATATCGGACTTTTATCATAGTTCGAAGTGGTAAAGAGACTACTAAAATTATGTCTGACGAAAAGTAAATCATTTCGAAGATCGCATGTCTTAAAGAAAATTAGAGTTAGTTAAAAATAATTAAAGTTCAAAGATATGACGTTTATTCCTTTATTTTGTTTGAAAGGTTAAAGTTTCTGTAGACATCACAAGCACTTGCTTGTTTAGTGATAATTAGGTTCTTCGCAAGATGATCCTCAGTTATATTTTGTAAATAAGTGGAAGGAACTATGAAGTTTGTGCTAACCTGATGTACATACAAATTCTCATTCATTCTTCTAGTTGATTCCGTTATATATTTTTATGAACAAATGAAATTTCTCTATTCACCTGGTTTCCATCGTTGAGAAAGCAATTGGCTAATTATGAATGGGGACAGGGTAGTTGAGCACGAAAGGCTGCAATAAATGTAAAGCAAAAGCCAATTGGCCAACATTTCCATTACTCAAAGTGAAGAATACTTTAGTTTTGTCATACACAAAAGTAGATTCTAATAAAAGTTCAAGTGTGGTTCAACTTATGAAATCATAATCAGCATGGTAAGTATTCGACATATCGCGAGCTAAGGGAAGATGATGCAATGGTGGCTAATGGTAAAAGAAAGCAGTTCTTTTGGAATGTGATGAGAAGCTTTTGAAGCCTTTATCGGCATATCTTTTAGAGAGAAAAGCCCGTAAAACTCGCAGTCGCAGTGGTTGTAGGGAGGCGAGGCACAGAACGATGCTTCGGACTTCAGACCAGAAGTAAGGACCGGAGGACGAAGGCGCTTCGACCGTCTCGAACTCCGACTTTTAGGGTTCTTCCCTACGTGCGATCGATCGACATTTCTCGACGATCTTGATCACTGTCAACTCTGCGGTTTTCGATCGATTTATTTCTTTTAAAGGAGAGCTACGAAGATTATTTGCTGGCCCAAGTCTTTCCGAGTTGTAGTGGCGACAACAGGTCTGCGCTTTTTTCTAGTGGATTACCAAGCAATTCCGCAGGATCGGTGATGAAATTTCACTGCCTCTAGGAGCGTTTTGTTATCAAAATTCTTCTGCTTCATTGGGCGGAAAGTTTTCCATAAGGAGCGGGAGAGGGATATGGAGAAAGTCAAGCGCTGTAGGCGAGAGATAGTCATTCCGTGAAGCTAATGTTCGTGCTTGTTAGGACTTGATACTCAACATCAAATCGGCTACTCTTGAGGGCTAAATTACTGCTCTGCTGCATATCGCTGGTCGTTATGGTAAGCCATTTTTTACTTGTGATGAATTCTCATCGTGTCAAGAGGAAAAATCTAGAATAATTCTGTCCTCCTGCTGTAAGTTATTTTCACCCGTTGCAGTTCTCCGAGGAATACTGCGGAAAAAATGAGCAGAATTGGATACCCTTGTATGCTTCTCAAAGTCCTCAATGTCCCCTTCGACTAGAGGCTGGAAAGGGTCATTGAGCACAGTAAAGGAGAATCGTTCGGCAGAGTAGCATGAATTGTGGCCAATCGAGGCAGAAGTCACATTAATCCCGTCACACAGCGGAGTAACCGTGAATGTGGCTTGCTTTCGTGTTCTGAGGTTGTCGTCGGCAGTTCTCTAGATTTTGGTAGCAATTGTTGAAGAAGTTTGCTCCGTAGGATTAGACGAGTATCGGAGATGAGAGTCGAAGTTGGATATTACCTTTGCGAGGAATTGTCTAGAAGTAGTCACTTTCATCCAAAATTGCATCGTACCACCCACATCTGAGTTACATTCAAAGAGATCCAGAGTCACGTTGTTCTCTATATATTCTTTTTAGGGACGTAGTTGTCTACAACCCTCTTTAAGTAAGGGAAATCAATTTCATGAGGTGTTTTTACTCTCTCGTACACGAATATTGATCTGTTTCTCAAACAACCGTCTTTGCTATCGTGCAGGCTCAAAGACACACCATCATTCTCATGCAGCCCATCATGAATAGGGCGACTCGCACCTTCATGGACTTCGAAACCGTGTCAGCAGCCATGGACGGTATGTGAATTGAATTTTGGGAGCATTTCCAAAGTCGTTGCTGGAGGATATGTGCGAAGAGTTTACAGTCTCAAATTAATTTTTCGTCTCACCATGATTTTCGACTTCAATCTCAGGAATATGTGGGATATACGAGAAGAAGCTTAAGGAGCTAAACCCAACCGTTCACAATATCACATACGATATAGCAGATCTGTACAAGTTCATCGATTCCTTGACCGACATGAGTGCTCTTGTGTAAGTTCGGCAAGCACCCAAACAGTTGCTAAGTCCATTGTGTGTCCATTGGAAAATGTGAGTTTGTTCTCACGTATTCAGGTTTTGCTGATAAGAGTATATCCAAGTAGGTCATGAAAGGTCTTCCCTGGTGTTGTGCAAGCATGTATTGGATCTTATTTTGTACCAGGAAGTGCTCGGGTTGTAAACACCAATTTCTTTCTGTATTTTAGCTTAAGTTCTGCTTATGTTTCTCATATGATGTGTAAGCTGGGGCTTGGAAGTTGGTTCTTCCGACCGTCACGATTGTTTGCTTAAATGATAGAGATGACTTTTCTGTACTTACTATCTCTTCCCTTCTTTGGCAGATTTGATCCCTCCCTCAATGCTTACATCCCGTATGATCGACAATGGATCAAGCAGCGTGCATTTCAACATTTAAAGAAGCTCGCAAGTCAGTATAGCTGAAATGAATGACTGATAAATACGATTGTGACGCGAGTGCGTATTGAACGATTGGGGAGCATCTGTAGATTTTCTTCTGAATGCATTTGTACATTAGTCAGACCTCCGCCTGGATTTCTTAAGGTAAAGTAATTATGCAGGTCGTGGAAGTTCGTCTTCTAGCTTGAAAGTAAAATTTGATCGCTCCCTACGTTGAGTATCATGGTTCTGTATGACAGAAGCTGCCATCAGCTTCTAGCCAAGGAAATTGAGCGTATTTCAAGTTTTATATACGGGAGATATGAAGAGTTAGACACTTTTTCCGCAGGGCCCTTTTGCATTCACTCCCATCTTTATGTTCCTTTCACTGGGAGTGATGCAAACTGGAAGCTAATGATAGTGAGGGCGAATGCACCTTCTCCTTCGACAGCTAAACCAGCGGACAACTGCCGGAAGCTTATGAAGAAAGAACGATTCCTCTTGTGAAGTCCCTCTACTTTTCTCCTTTAAGAGTGCAAAATCAAGGCTATTCTTATAGTGCGGATCTTACTATTGTACTTTGTGATATGTGCTTGGTAGCTTGAGAGTTCATGTCGTGGCCTGGGAACATGGATGTAAGAAGTAACGGATTCTTCCAGGCCGTGTTCGACACTTGTTCGCGAGCTTGGTACCACTCAGTTCAGGTAGTGTCAGCTTGAGAGTTGTAAACCGTCGCGAAGATGAGTCATCCAGGCCATGGATTCTGCTTGAATATTGTGGCATGTGCTTGATAACTTGATTCAAAGTAGATCCAGTGAACACTTGAACCCGGAGTGACACGAACACCTATGATGTGGCCTGACTAACACAGGATTATGTGTCAAATTTGTTGGATGATGATCAGATATGGTTTTAGAAACTCTGAAAGGGCAATGAAGAAACCCAGGCAACCTTGCTCTCTCTTGGATAAAGCATTTCACCAAAACGTCGGGCATATATGGCATGAATGGTGACGTTTGCGTTTGAACTTATTTTGGTGTCTGCGGAGGGGGCTGTCAGGGAAGGATATTCAGTTCCAGTGTGAGACGGTCGTTATTCGGAACGTTCAAGATTCTGGCCTGAGGACGGATGCCATCTGTACATTTTTGTACTTACACTGAGCATATTAGAGGTTCAACCTTTTTTGGCACTTATGTGGGTCCTGAGCACAGTTCTTTGTCATGAACAGGCCTCACAAGCATGTTCACAACATTCACACTGTCGTAGCAAGTGCTGGAGACGCTGTTTCCTCACGTACGAGTAAACACTGTCCATGCGGCATGTCGTACATGTTTACATCTCCACCTCGCACTGTTGTTTGACTGCCATTCCGAAAGGCAGCAGATAGTCACAAACGAGTCTTCGACGGTGCTAAACTCTCAAAATGCCCGATCTGAGTTGTGATGTTACGAATATTTCATGTCTCTATAGCAAATACCTACCTTTTTTGGTTAATACGTTGAAGACCATATCACGTCACATAATTAACAAAGATGAAATGCTTCATTGATGGTGAGAGTTGTGAAAAGTTACTTGTTGAGTATTGCAACCCTAAACCCTGGTAGCCTAATTTTTCTATATAATATGTAAACTAGATGTTACAATGTAGTCGCTAGATATATATAGATAACTAATATATCATTTTATACTCGATTAAAACGTCTTTGACCTTTATTATCAATGATCACCTATTGCAAATTACATGTGGTCCCGCGTCTCTTCTCATTCCATTAAAGTATTTGAATAATATATTACGAACCCTTCTTCTTTTTCCATGGAAACCAAATCAAATGAATAAAACATAGAAACTCTTTATTCACTTTTCGAAAGTATAATAAGTATAATAGTTCATGTTATACTTTTAAAATAATTTGATTTTATATGGAATTTTCATAAACAAATTTGCAAATCAATTTGAGAACTAGAAAGATATTACACAATGGTAGTGGGTGCGATTGAGTGCCAAATCAATCTATACTGCTTGTAATATTGTATTCATACGTTCTTTCGAAAGTTTTTAGTTACATTACAACTTATGTATAAAATTTGTCCATCACTATGGTTTATTTTGTTAAAAATTTAGAATTTTCTATTAACACTTTGTTTTAGCAATTGAATATTTTATACATAAAAAAAGGGAGATTTAATGATAAAATAATTACAAACATTGAAATTGAATTTTAGTGTATAAATTTAAAATCTAGATCAAACAAAGTACAACAACTATCAAACAATTTATGAGTTTGCAATCATAATTATTTAATCATGAAGATAAAACAAGATTCAAATAAGAACCACTTCCGTCAAATTAAGGTTTTAGGCAATGTCAAAGGTTTTGAATAATTTCGTTGTGTGGAAACTAGGTTCGTGATGTATTTTTTAAGCTATAGAAATTATATTCCTTAAATATATTTGAACATACTATCAAATAGTGTTAATCATAAATTGAGAATAGTACGTAAGTGTCCACTTTACACTGGAATTGATGGAAAATTTTGCTTAATATTCAGGTATGATGTTTTGATCTTAAATCTTCAGCTACCAGATGTCTTATATCTTGATCATCCGTAATCAATCTAATCGAAATTACTTTCGTAAGTTGTGGAATAAATAAGAAACATTTCAATATGGAAAATATCATCAACATAATCTTTACAAAGTGTAAAGATTAATTTCTCTAGACCTGAATACTTTCTTTTCGCTATAGTTAGAGACCTAAGATTTTTTTCAAGTCCAGAAATGAAGACTAAAACACACAAAAAAAACATTTGTCTCCAACAGTTATGTCCAAATTGTTTCTCAAAAAATTAACGAAGATGAAAACAGTTAGGGATTTATACTCATTGACGCTGTCAGGGATAGACTGAAGACTACAAACCGAGCGCGATGACTGGGCCGCGTTATTGCAACATGCACGGAACAAGAGTAAAACCCCAGCAACAATCAACTCAAGAAATTCAGACAAGACACGTAGACAAAGGTTCCATATCCAGCTCGAATCTCAATAGCTGGATATAGAAGAGATCTTCACAGGTCACTTCCAACGATTCCACTCATCAATACTTATAGCCAAATCATCTCAGTAATGTACAGTTGAAAAGAACATATCTCGTGGTGCTAGAAGGTCTAAACATCATAATCAACTTATGAGCCGTATTGTATCAACTTCAGGAGTACAAGATTGTCAACAGGTAGTATCAGATTCATTGCCAGGCATGCAAAGCAAAAGGCATGCGAAAGAGGCCAATATATATTAGAAGGGAAGTAGTGAGCGTTTCGCAAGCGCCAAGTGATCGGTACACACAGAAACCAAGCAGTGGGGAGAATCCAAAGGTAAGATGTATTTCAAGGAAAGTTCGCTGGAAAAATTTAGCGACAAATCTCCAGAAGTAGAAAATACCCAGTCGATTCTCCACAAGTTTGGATGATATATTACAGTTTTCTTGCAAGATTTAGATGTTAGATCTCTTCCTACCACTGTACAGATTGTGCACGTTCACAGCCAAGATTACCCGAGACATTAGTTTACTAAGATAAGCTTGATGTATGCAGCCTTGTGCTGGCTTAAAACATCTAGGCACAAGACCTCTCTGTCATGTACGATACCTCTGGAACCGCTGATTGCCGACACGGTAAATTTAAAAGGCATCCACTTCAAATCCACTTCGAATGTAGTTGTACACATCCTTTGCGCGAGTTTTCTTGATTGTCGTTTGAAAGTGTACCTTGTTGATGGCCTTGTCTTCTTCTGTGGATACAGAGTAAACTTTGACCCAGAACATAATTTTCGTCTTCATGCCTTCGATATCTGTGAGATTACCTGGTCTGAGGACGCCTGTTACCCTCTTGTCAAACCTGACCACAGACTGATCTCTGTATCCCACCTCACACGGAAAGGGAAGGTTTACGACAAGGGCCCCAGTGGTTTCATTGTACTCATAGTTTAGCAAATTCTGGGGGAATAATCCCCTTGGAAGACCGTACTCCTCCAGAAGATCTGGTAATGCCTTTTGAACTTTTCCTGTAGAACAAGAGCATCGATTAGATTCACGCCAACGACACTATTCTTACGATCTAGTGCAGGCAGCAATTCAAATTAAACAAGGGTGAGAAGGTACAACGTCAGACTCATCTTCCTGCAAACGAAGAATTGCTGAGAAAAGTACATGAAAAGATATCGACCTTTCAGTCTGCTGAAGAAGTTTTCCACTGAGGTCGAGACAGACTGCTCGAAACCGGAAAGGAAACCACAAAGAAGGGCAATATCCTTAGCAACGTGCACAAGAACTTCGAAATTAAACTCGAAAATTACGAGAAATAGGAAGTAACGTCATCATTTGGATGAAATAGCACCCTTGTATGTGAGTGACAATAACAAGACGTACTCTCTCTGTTGTTTGCTGCTACTCACGGCAGTCAACTTGAACAAAGAATTGCAAGGGTTGAAGAAACCTAGTAATTAGTTTCCTCAACTAAATAGGATTGAGCACGCGGTCACAGTTCAAAATATTATTCTCGATTATAGTTTACGATTTAAAAAAAATAAATATCAAGTAAGCAGTATATTCTAAAACATTTCAAACAAATCTGCTACATCAGGACCAGGAGAATGGAAAAAGAACATATTAAGAAATAAAAAAGTGGACGGATAGGTTTCAGAGAAGAGATCGAGTCGAAACGTCGGTCTTCCCTTCGACAAATGCTCTGAGTAGCATAGTTGTAGCAAAAGAAAGAAAAATGATCAGCTATCAAAATTTGACTCATTGACAAGTGAACAAGACGAGATAAGAAGACATCACATTTCCCAAAAAGATCAGGAACGAGGTATTCATCCAGCTGATCAAGAAACATCATGTCCCTCATTACTGACACAATTGTTCAGAGATCCAGAACAACATACATTCACATCGTTTCCGAGAGAATCCATCTCCTTCTTGGCCCGCTGATTGAAGAAGTAACTGCCCACGCTCCCTAGAAACTGATCCATCTCGAATCCGATATATCAAAGTAAAACGATCCCTTTTATCTTCTTCTGCTTCGCCTTCCCTAGTTCTACGTGACTCACCAATTCACGCCTCCTGTTCCAGCACTTGGACGGGCCGACTCCGCTACGGAAATAAACCTCAACCTCAAACTCTTCCTCTCGGATCAAAACGAGCAATCAGCGCCAGCGACCTCGCTTCTTAAGCTTGCCCTGCTCCTCCCTCCTCTCTCAATCAGCACAAATGGTTTCGCCCTCGTTCATCATTCGACGCAACAAATTCACCAAACTCCACACTCGAACGCTTCCTTCACGCGCAAAGACTCGCGCTCAGGTTTGCAAAAGGCTGAAGGCATAAATTCCTTCCAATATACAGAATGACAGCTCCAGAGAGCAGCGAGTGAGAGTCAGTCCAGCAATTGCTATTCCACCTTCACTGCATCTCACTTCCTCCTTCGTCCTTGAAGCAACAGTCGACGAGATCTGCATTTCCGCGAACCCCAGCGTCGAGTACCTGGTGACAAATTGCCTGCTTGGACTGGGGCCCACGAGAAACCAGCTGTTTCAAAGTTCTACCTCCTGTATTAATGGGGAGCCAAGTAATGTAGAAAAATGGTTGGGAAAGTTTCCACCCAGGCGTACATGGGAAAAAACTGTGGGTAACATGGTTCAGCCCCGAACCTCGCTTCTATTATACGGTTTACATCGACTAACATTTCCACAACCATGTGAGAATACGAATTTACATCACCTCAACCTATAACTACTTTGATGGATTTTCATACTCTTTCAAAAATATGTAAAAGCACATAGTTGTATAATTCTAACGCTAGATTAATAATTAGTTGAGTCCTCAACAAATATTTATATTAAAAAATGTTGATTATCTGCTCTCCATTTTATCGTTATTCACTATATTCAGGAGAAGATGATTTCGCGAATCAATTTCTAGTCCGTTTGTATGGCCAAGATTGTGTACTTATTATTAGAACATAAATAACTATTTTCTATCGGTTTTAAGTGAATGATGTTCATTCACTTAAAACCAAAAAATAACCGATAAAACCTTATGACATCTGACTTTATTACATTTGAAGACTTGTGAGCATACACAAAATAATGAATGGTTTGGAGCTTTATTTGTTAAATAATAGTCATATTTGTTGCAAATGAAGTGAATATATATATAGTGCACAACATTAATATCTAGAGTTTCAATAGCCTATATCCTTTGTAGTTCAAGATTTGATATCATTTGTTGTACATGGTTCATGAGGAATTATTATTTTTGCCATTTTTGAAACAATATTTTGAATATAACATCAAGCAATCATGTCTGATTATTTAACATTTGACTTCTAAAATAAAATATTTTAAACTGTATTTTCTGGTTGAATCCAATGACACAATCTGACATGTGTTTGTTCCCATTTTACTTCAGTTTAGTAATCATAATTTGCATTTGTCAACTTGGTATCATATTGTAAATACACAACTTCATTGTAATTAAACCACTATAAGTCTAAACTTATTAACCTGATCTAACCATAAACAAATTGCTTTAGTAAAGCAGTAGAACATAGTGTTATTGAAAACTACAAACTTGCTAACTAAACTAAAAATTAACTTAGATCTTGATTTGATTTGATTCGTTTAATCTTAGTTGTTTGAGCTAGTTAGTCTGACATCATATAGGAAAGTCCATTGAAGCTCTAAGATATGCATTGAGGATATTTTATGAGAAGAGTTTGAGTTGTTGTAGTGGATGTAAATTGCAAGAATTGATCACGCATTTACAAAATTAGTTATGAGTGTGTATATATCTCTTGTTGCAACAATTTCACACTCAATGGAAATGCAATCACACATCATACATGCACAACAACACTAAAAATACATGATTTCTCATCATGAACTATATCCACGAGAACACAAAAATTGTAGAAAGAAAAAATCCCAAACTATATCAGCAAGAGCTTTTGTGACTTTTCTTATATAATAAACGTTTATTATCGTCAGTAACTAGTATTAAACTAATTTTAGTTATCAGAATACATAAACCAACTCCTAAGTATCAAAACTTCAATAAAAATTATAATCATTTTGGATAAGCAAAAACTATTAGTTTAAAATAGGTGTATGTTTACATTAGATTTAACAAAAACAAGCCGTAGCCAACATATTATAGAGTGAATACATATAAGAAGATACAAAAATGGTTAGTAAATGCTACTTAAACTCCTAATGCACAACCTAGAAAAAAACCTATTGTTTTCTTAAACTCTTTAAAATATAATTTTAGTCAACACATTAGTTGTATTAAATTTACTGTTAATTGAATCTGTATATCAAGAATTGCATCTCTAATAATAAATTGATATCTTTTGTCAATATTTTTTCACTATATTTTCCATCATTCTATAGCAAGATGTAATACACTTTCACTATCACACTAAAAACTAATAATCTCATCTTTCAGCCTTGTCTTGGTGATATCTTTATTTAATCTAATAGCTATGTTTGTTGTTTTTCTATCATCAAATATTATGTTCTGGATTAAACTACAAGATTTTGCAAAGTAGATTTTGAACTCATGAATTCATCATCAAATGTATCATTCAAAATACAGAATTTTGTTTCCCTACTTGTTCATAAATAGCATCATTGTAGGGCATATCATATGGCATTGTTTAATAAGAAATTAAACAAAACATATTAATCCATAGTACTCTTGAGGTGAGCAAAAATCCACTTCACAACGGTTGAATGCAATGTTTTGGGATTTAACTTATGATTTAATCATATTTTTCATAATAAGAGTAATATCAAGTCTTATGCATACCATCAAATAGTCGAGGTTACACGCTGATTTTTTATTTTTTCAAAAAAAATATTTTTTGATTTTTAATGACATCTATTGGACATTGAGTTCATAAGCTGTTAATCAATCACAAATTATTTTTTCAAATTCATATGAACATTTACATCTGGTATACTTCAAAATTTATCTAAATCTTTCATCTTAAATGCATATTGTAGTTGATTCTTACATCTCTTAACATCAGACTGATTGTTTAATACAAGAACATTTTATATAAATGAAATTAAAGATGTCATTGTTTTCATAAATATACATAAATCATACACATTTCATTAATTTTTTTTATAACTTCATGATTTTATCAAGCCTTGCTTGTATTGGAGAAAAAACGTGCTTCAATGCATATAATGATTTGAACAATTTACAAATCAAATTTTTTTCATCTTTTCTTTGAAGCCAACTTGTTATATTATATGATTGTTTAACTTCAAAGATTTATTGAAATTTGATATAAAGATCTTTTGACTTGTTATTGAATTAAATATTGTAGCAATTGTATGTTTATTTTGCCATAAATGATAACACATTATAGTTTTGAAAAGTCTTTATTTATCATATGTTATATTATTTTTTAGCTTTTACAATCAAAATTTTATTTATTCAACGATGATTGCCTAAATTTTTCACTAGCTTTCGAATATATTATCATTGCATTTTATGATACATAGCGATATTTCACTCAAGCTTGTTGACAAAGTTTTATATAAAACATAAATTATATCTTCCAAAATTATAGTATTGTCATCATCTCAATATCAATTTCTTTAAATATCAAGTTCTTCAAAGATGATTCATGTCATCATCATATTTTCATAAAAGATATAGTAATCTATTTTGATGATCTATTGCTTGATGCACTTATTTGAGATTATTTGACACTCATCCATTGCTCTTTAAAATTTAATTTAATTTTAAGTTTGCTTCATTTATATTCGAGTTGTTCATCACATCATTAAATGCCAAATGATTTTTTTATAAAAAATCTCATCTTTTGTGGAGAATTTTTTTTCACAATGATTTGAGTTCATGAAAGTAAACATGTAAATTAACAATAATCTTACATGTTATTTGATTTTTGAATCTATATTTTTCACATCAAATACTTGTTTCAAAAATTGATACTTTTAAAATAAATGATACAACTTGATTTTTATATATTTAATTTTAAGAAGATAAGTCGTGCAATTAACACAATTTTTTAAAATTATTATTTTTGATATATTTCTTTGCATGATTTGCATAAAATGTTTCTATCTAGTATTGAGTTTGACTTCAATTTTGTTTTTCCAATTTGTTAAAAAATTAAAATTTCCAAATTTTCCCAGTGATATACTAATAATGCATAAATTTTGAACAGTCATCAAGAAATAATACATGGTATAAATTTTCAAAAATTGAATCTTTTAGATTTCTTACCTAAATTATAATTTTAATTTTTATTTTTAATTATAATCATTTTAATTCTGATAATTTCAAAGAAAAATTATATAATTTTTGTTCATAACACAATGTTCATAAAAGTATAAGTCAAATTAAACTGTCAAGCAACAAGCTTGTATCACCAAGAAGTATCAAATATATAGTATTCATGTGTCATAGCCTAAAATGAAATTCAATAGTAATCTCAATTCAATATTTAATACAATTTTTTTTCAATCCAAATTATAGTTTACTCTAGCACATATAAAATAAATATGCCTGTGCATTTTTTTATAATCCTATCATCTATAGTCATCTAGAGCATGTTCTTCAAAATCTCATTGATTTTGTTTAAAATTTAGCATTTCAAGAATGATAAATAAGTTTTTCATATGACATGAAATCTGATATAATTTTATGTATTTTTTATTCAATCAAATATTTAAATTTTAATTTATTCAATAGTTTTAACTTTACAATATTGATAATTATTTGATAAAGAATAAACTTTTTTATTCTGAAAAATGACCAAAAATTCTTTGCTTTAATAATCGTGAAAAAATTCACTTTTCAGAATTCAAACATCATTAATAATTTTTGTTGAGTTGCATGAAGTATATTTTTTACTTTATATTTTATTATTGAACAATTTTTTGAAAATTTTTTTCAAGACTTATTGGTGAAAAAAAATTCACCAGATTTGATTTTCACATAATTTTGTTTGTACGTAGAAATGTTTGGCAAATTCTTAAAATATTATCATTTATTTGTTTGATTTTTTTCTATTTTTTATATTAAATGCTGGATATTTTTCAAATTGTATGTATGATTGATCTTTGAGAGCATTTTGTTCCCAACTTGAAGAAAAATATGAAGGTATTGTAAATATTAAAGAAAGAAAGAAAGATGAAAGATATTCTCTCATCATTAATCTTCTATCCAAGTTGTAAAGCTCAATGATAACATCATCAAAAGCATAATTGTAATGCTAAAATGTTTCATCCTAAAGCTCAATATTTCTAAATTGACATACAACATATTTGACAACTCTTTGTAATGAATTTTTTGTTCAAAAGCTTTAAACAAAGAATTATATGTATCCACTTGCTTCATAATCAAAAAATGCAAATGTAATTTAACAATACTTAAAGCTTGTACATGAAAATTCATTCTCTTCAATTTCAAAGTTCTGGATTTATTGATCAGCTTTTTACGAATTATCAATTTAAATTATATATCATTTAATTTTGTAAGGTATACATAACATGTTTTTTTAATTACAAACTACAAATTTTTAATCTTTTGAAATTGTTTTAACATCAATTTTTTTATTAATTGTCATTGTTTTGATCACAATATCATTACGTCATATTTGAAAATTGATGTGAACAATATTAATGTGATCATTGTAATCAAAAGTGCATGATAAAAATATGAATGAATGATAAATCAAAAGATATTTTTGAATAGATATTATAATATATAACTCATTTAGTAGATTTGAGAATCTAAAAAATATAATCTTAGAAAATGAATTATCATTATCAAACAATAAATAAAAATGATAGATATTTTATGATTTTTTTTTTCAATATCATCTTGTGCAATAATATTAGCAAATTAAAAGTTTATGATGAAAACTTTTTTGAAATTTAGTGATCAATATAATTTTGTCCTATCATGCAATATCAATTTCAAAGCATAATCTTTGAAACAATGCATCATGCTGTTAAATTTATTTTGTAAGCACTTTTTCCAATATAATGTTGATATTATTATGACAGTGAAAATAACAGAAATCACATCAGTTCTTTAAGTAAAATTCAATTGAACAATCAATATTATTGTAAGAACGTGGTTATGCAATATGACTTGACTTTGTATTGATGTGAAGTTTGCTATGACAAAAAACCTTAGGTTTCAGTGTTAATATGTTTTGATTGATGATGAGATTGATGAAACTTGGGTTGATGTAAACTTGTTTACATTAGAGCTAGCTATTGTTATTTTTTGCAAAGATTGCATTTTATATTTTAAACAATTTATTTTGAACAAGATCATAGCTGAACACATTCTTTGATAACAATTCAATTGAAATTGACTCAAAAATTACCTTAATTTAGTTTTACTAGTGCTATGATTTTACAATGTTTTATTCATTGTCATTTGATAATAGATATTCAATTATAGATCAAATTTCACCTAGCTTTCAATTGATTCCCTCTCACTTCTACCTTTTGATCTTTCCCACTACATATTCAATTTTCACCTTGTCACTAATGCAAACTCACATGTAAATTACTTTTGACAGGTTATTCGGCTCATGCATTAGAATAACCATTCACACATGATACAAGGAATACATTACACACATTTTTGCACCATTGCTGAAGACTAAGATATGGTTTCAAGTTGCATGCACATAGATATTGCTAATTTAGTTGTATGGATATGAGAACATTTATGAATGCTACAAATAAAAGAACAGTTTTATCAAATCCTGAATCCTCAGAGTCTTAAGTTATAAAGTGCTGCAGAAAAACTGAATTTCCTGGTGGCCGTAATCGGCATGTACCATCGCTCCGGAAACCATCCTTTAGCGAGTTGTATGGTATCATGAGAAGGGCAAGTTGCTTCGATGTTCACATCCTTTCGAACAGTTATTGATGATGTTGACATACGATCTTGAAGAACTGGTTATTTGATTCACTCTATTATGGAGTAAACCCCGAAAACTCTATAGATCAAATTAAACAAAAGTAATTCTGTAAAATAAATACATGTATTTAGGAGAGTCCGACGATTTAGGATGACGTCAGCCCTACGTATGCGCCGGTCGGTCAGAGGATTCTTCCTGAATTCTCCGTTCATGTGATGTCACTCTATCAATTCGTCGTTGCTTCCGTCTGTCCCTGCGAGTCTTCCTTGTCTCTTGATTGCAGAGCGGACTGGGACTCTTGAACTACCACTTGAGCACTGTCTCTCTCTTCTTCGCGGTTAAGTTGTTTGGTTTCCTATTTCGATTTGTCGATTGTTTGCGGTGTTGGACGCGCTAGTCTCACCAGTAGAGAAAGTTGTGTACGAATCTGTCGAGCGAAGGACCGGAGAGCAGCGTTATGGCAGCAGTTGATACAGATGTGCCCATGGGGCCATCTGGCGAAGGGAGCAGCGCTGGAGCGAGTTCGAGTTCCAGGCGGCCGAAGCGTTTCGAGATAAAGAAGTGGAATGCTGTTGCTCTGTGGGCTTGGGGTACGAATTTTGTTCACTCCCTTTTCATCGCAGACGTTTCGTTATTCGTTCCGATTAGTCAGGAGTTGATTGATTCTTTTAACTTTTAGTTCTCTGATTGAATATGTCCTAACGAGGTAGGAATTTTGCGAGTCACGCGCGATCGACCTTCTTCTGACCGAATGTGGATGATGTTACAAACCAGACTCCTTAGGGTTTACTAGTTTATGATTGTTTCAGTATCCATTCTGTTCGAGTTTTTGTCTGTTTCTACGTGTTAATTTCTGCCTGGGGGTCTTGTTGCAGATATCGTCGTTGACAATTGTGCCATCTGCAGAAACCATATCATGGACCTTTGTGAGTTTTACACTTTATTACCTTTTCATAGATATCATTTTCACTTGAACGTACATTGTGCATCTTGCTCGTCCTGTGTGCCTTTCAGCATCTATGGTGTAGATGCCTCCCTCTTGTAAAATAATTGAGCTTCCCCGTTCAAGCCCTGCTATCAGATAGTAGCTAATTAATCCCGTTGATCTTTCACTGATACCATTCCGTTGTTGTGCAGGCATTGAATGTCAGGCCAATCAAGCCAGCGCCACGAGTGAAGAATGCACAGTCGCATGGGGTTAGTCATTCTTTCAACAAATAATTGAAATTGTGCTTAAACGTGTAGAAATTTGTCACCTGCTATATTCTTCTACTATTGTAATGTAGCAGAAGAAAATTAAAATGAAGCAGTTGTATAAGAATTGCGCAATTGATCGAGTATTTTCCTGTATAACCAGGTCGTGTAAAGTCTTTGGATCAGTTCTATGCACAAGTTTCCGTAATGTACGTAATGATTAACTTAAAGAATCCGTTAATTGTGTTATTCAGGTGTTTGCAATCATGCCTTTCACTTCCACTGCATCAGTCGATGGCTGAAAACACGTCAAGTGTGTCCCTTGGGTAATGCTCTCCTTCATGTATTCCGTTCAAGCTTGGATCCCATTTTGACCATATTTCCTCTCAAATCGGGCAGGAGCGAATAGTACATTTAAAGCTGTTTCTTTACCTTGGAAATGGCAGCTGATTTGAACTTTTATGCTGTCAGGATCAAGACTCACGATTGCTTTCTTCCGAATTACTTTGTAGATGTTTTGGATATGAAAATTAGCTTTGCACTGCAAGGGTTGGGGAGTTTATGGAAAACTCAGAACACAAGGAGCAAAAGGAGTTTACTAGGGTATCTGGCTTCGTATCTATAAGATCTATAAGGTTTATTGTATACATCAGGGATTCTCAGAAAGCTAGAACATGTGCGGGAATGATTTTTGCCATCTTCAGGCATTGTGGCAACATTTCATTTCTCTTACTGACGTCAACCGATTGCTAAGAACTGCTTGAAGCGGGGATGAAACAATTATAGACCTTAAGCCGCAAATGTCTTTGGATTCACATGTAGATCTATTTTATGATCGCCACTTACCATGAGCACTGCAGCAGCTGTATCTCTTTGTATCACTCTTTCGTCCGTTGTATGCGTAAAATGAACTAAATTTTGATATGATGAGACTAAGCTTTCTTCACGCAGACAGAGCCCTTGTTTATAATCATTATCTTCTTTTGAACACATCAGTAACTGATCAATGCGAAATTATCTTCATTTATCTTAAATTTTTTGAAAAACTTTTAGTGCTAGTAGTCCAAGTTGGTTGTTAGCATATGGTGGCTGTCAAGTTTTTCATTGTACTGATTGCCTATATTTTCGCACGAAATGCAGATAATAGCGAGTGGGAGTTTCAGAAGTATGGACGATAAGATGCGTGTACTTCACTTGAATGGGGTTCAAACGCATAGCAGGCGAGATCTGCCAGATAACTGGCATTGCATAACACGGATTACGTGACCGAAGCTAGCTGGAAGCACAGGCTAATCGGTACGATCGGTCCGAGTGTTTCGATTTCTCCGATGATAGGTCTTTGTTAAAGTTAAGTGTGCAAGGCCCATCTGACAGTTAAAAGATCTACAGGATTGATCACTTTCATGTTGTCAAACCATGTTTACATGTGCCTTGCACTTTCCCTAATATTTCCTCTTAGCTGGTGATAAGTCACGATTTGTCTCGGAATTGGCCGAAGGGATTTCGCGCGAGAGCACTCTTGTCCTTAGCGTTTGATATGAGAAGGTGAAGTAAGGAGTTGAGGGACTTGCTGCTGGTAGAAGCTGCGGAGGGTCAGAGTCAGTACTGTGTTTTCACATTGTACATTTTTGTCATTTGTTCATACACCCTGAGGGATCTGTCTTCTACCAGCCAACATTGTTGTGGTGGGAGCTTGAATCTTTGGTTTTGGATGTACTGCGGCCATTATTCGCGTGTTCATCACCTTCAAAGTAGTCAGTATTTCCCATGTAGATATAAGTCGTTGTATACGGCACGTTGCGATGTCTGCCTCCGGTCTGCATCTCTTTCGACATATATATATATATGTTTGCACCTTGAACTGATATTCACCCGCCAAAGAGTACTTGTTCAGAATGATGATGCAAGGTTTGGGCCAGATACGCCGAGGTTTCTTTGTTGGATGGAGAGGCCAGAAGCAATTTCAAATGAAGTCAAAGCTTCAGTGTAAACTTGAAGTAAATTTTACTTAATATGGAACTTCAAGTTAACCCTCCAACCATGAATCTGCTTAAGACTTTTGAGTTGGAGTTCGTTGCAGTCAGCTCCGTAGTGAAAGTTTTGAGGATTCAACTATTCATTGGAAGTGATTGTCAATTTGTTGGTGAAAGGTAACAGTGGAAGTGAAATACCTTCACTTTCTATTAATGTAGAATATGACGGACGAATGCATTCGGAATATCTATCGTAAGGACGTCTTGTTTGTCATTGTACTCCTACTTCGAGAAAGTACTTTGTGCTTAGCATTTCACAATGCATATAATTTGCACGTACCTCCTCGTACTCTATCCTAGTTTGTAATTCGAGTGCGTAACTGTTCAACGGGTCTCTTACATCCTCGTAGTTCGCCCGTGTCCCACACTTGAAATGAAGAAATGCTTTGAATTTGACCAAATTTAACACTTATGGAAACTTGCAAGAACTTCCACTGGACTTTCTGTTTCCCGAAGATAGCACTGGGGCAGCTTTTGAAATCCTGAGTTGGGTTGAGAAGTTGAATTCGGACGCAGAATTATCGTATTTCTTGGGTTTCCAGACGCTGAAGTGGAAGATGTAGCACGTCATAATTGAATTTTGGAAAGCGAGAGGAGGACAGGATAAGTTGTGCAACTGATAAGTGGTAATGCCGATATAAACGTGGAGATATGCACTACTGCGGGAGAAAACCGGCTCACATAAGAAGAGCTTAAATATACTGTTTCTAAATTACGAGACATGTCGGTTCAGGAGATAGTATCAAACAGGAAACATCTTCCGTATGTGCAGGACACTTTCGTCAAGCACTCTTCTCAAGCACCTACCTTTGAAAGGAATTCTATGATTTTTGACACAAAATGCGGTTGCTTCAATCGATGTTGTAGAGGAACTCTGGTTAACAAAACGTTGATGATGAAGACGGAAGAGCCTGATCGAAGTAAATTGTCAGTTCCCACCATGTCAAAGGGAGAGTGACCCTCAGAGTTTCAACTCGAAAGATTACATAAAAAACCTTCAATGAAGGGAGCAAACAATCATCCTCAGCAATCCAGATCACTACTCGCTTTGAAATGAGAAAGAGTGAACCAACCAGTGAAAAGAGTGACGGTTCTCAAAGTGAAAATGTCCTTCAAGGAGAATGGAAGCATTCTCTATTCTCCTTAAATTGGACACGCTCATATTCCGGACAATTGTGTAAGTGACACATGGAGTTGGAGATGAATGACAGTTTGAATGTGTTGGAGTAAGAACGACCTTACGGGATTGAACTAAGAGGAAATATAAAACATAATCCTCAAAGGGAGTAAATCTTCGCCGTAATCAGGCTATATTTCTGATTCTCATAATGAAGCTGAATTGATAGAGTGTGAACCAGCTAGTAAGAAGAATGTAAGTATGAACCAACTGGTAAGAATAATGACAGATCAAACCGGTCAAAACATACAGAACATACTTGAAAACAGATGTGTTCTGGATATTAGTTCGGAAGTGACAAAGATGAGAGTGTGAAGAAGAATGACAATATCAGCGTGCCAAAGTGAGAATGATCTTAACGGTTTGAATCAGAAGGAAGACAGAAGAAAACGTCTTCAACAAAGGGAGTAATCATCCAAGGAGAAAGTGAGTAAGGAGTGCAATTGTGGAAACAAAAATGTTTACTCACTCAAGCAGTAGAAACGTTAGCAACGCCGAACAAAATGATTCCCTAAGTTGAATTCGTAACACTAACTGTAATAAATTCTCAATGACTTCCAAATATTTGATGCACCCTCAAGAAATCTCCTTGATTTATGTATTGTATAGTAAATACTACAAATTCCAATATAATTCACATAGCTATAACGTAGTAGCACCATTTTTAGGAATTTTAAACCAAAATTATTATTTTTAATATATTTACTAGCATTTTATTATATCTGGATCAGAACGTGACTAAAGTTGATATCATGATTCAATACGATATGAGGATCAAGAGGAAATGTATGGGTAAAAAAAATTGTTGCACATCATTAATAAAAATGACATCGCAACCTATTCAGGGGTTAAGGTATTTTTGTTACAACTAAGAAGCACAAGAAAAGGATAAGCAGTGATATGACGTTGGAAATATATGTAAAAATTGAATTACTTTGCTCTTATATATTTCCAAAGGTTTTTCAATCTCACTGGCATAAATTTGATTATATTACAATGGTTCAAGAATTAAATTAACTTTCCGCTGTCTTAGAGGTTTTGTAATTGTCAAAGAATTGTCTTGCCAATTTTAAAGCTCCTTGTCGTGGTATTCTGTCCACAAAAACACAATTCACTAAGTCATACCTCTCCACTCGAGAAGACAAGATGTGTTAGAACAAGTTCATTGCAGAGCAATGATGCTCAGTGCCTGATATTGTATGTCGCTTTTTTATCCAACCTTCACATCACTTGATTAGGGTCAGAATACCTCCCCCAGTCCCATTTCCAGAATGACTATGATCAATTTTACCACCCACACACAAGATGTACACGTCAAACTATAACACATCAAACCCCATACATAAATCTTAGCATATGACATGGGCTTACAAACACGTGTGATGCACTAAAGACAAGATCGTCTCTCCATGCGATGAAAAGCTATACTCCGTCGTCTAAAGCATGAAATGTCTATGCCTCACAGGAATGCTCAAGGTGTTCGTCTTCTGAACACATTTATTCAAAATGACAAAAATTTCTTCTTCAGATAAAGTTATAAGCATTCTCTGGAGTATACTGGAAGATTTCGAGCCCACTATTGAAATTTGATGCCTGTTGCCCGAAGTGCTACCTGTAGTCTGATGCGCAGTCACGGTCACCATTATACGCAGTTACCGTTAGCTTTGCTAGCTCGGTGCCTGTGACGGCGCAAGGTCGGGTGAAGTGCAGAAGCCTTGCTCGACTGCAGCTCCCGCCTGGCTCACTGCCTCGCGTCTTCATGTGGAAATTTGCAGTAATTGCAGTCACTGCCACAGGCTTGACTCTACACGGTAAATTGCACATTCCACACGGTAAATTGCAAAGCAGCCAGATCCGCAAGTGATCCACGTCAGCTGGTTTTAACTTTTTGCTCCGATCTGGTGGGAGAGGGCGTTTTGATGATGGAAGTCATGATTGACGTCGCCCGTTGTGTTCTTCTTCTGAGCATGTAAATGTGCTCCTCCTATTCTCCACGACTGATACTAAGAGCAGTTTCTACGATACCAAAAAAACTCACGGAGCCATATCCGAACCTTCGCAAGGACAGAGTTGAGCAGTTTTGATGAGCAATCGGCCGGACGATTTGATGGTCATCATGAATATCATATTCCTCCCTGCGCCTATCTACCCTATGAGCTGTGTTCACAGTGTCAAGATGAATATAAAGGGAAATATCTTTGAGGTCATACCCATCACTTGTGCAAATTTCCACCTCAGAAATATACTCAGATGACATGCATGACCCAAATTCTATTAAACAGTTCTAGGAAGACCATATCTTCCAGTTGGCTTGACAAATCTATCGGAAATATACGAATTATAAAATTGCAACCACTCCACCTAGTCTTAAACACTCTGCTCAAGTTTCAATTGTGAGGTGATTTCAACATTCACATACATTATGCAACCAACACAAATACTGAATAAAAACAATCCACACATTGGCAACATCGGGCAGGAGCGAGTGTCTTAGTAAAACGGTAAATAATAAAAGAATATCGTACTTATTATATAAATTCAAGTTAGAGTTAAGAGCATGCTCAAATTTGAGAAATTTGATCCTTGTTACCTTTGAACTCCAAATTATGATTATTTTAAAGCAATAATTTTTCGACTGATTTCTTGAGATATCAAGGCATCAACAAATGAGGTTACCTAACATAGTAAAATATACAAATAAGATAAAATTTTACAGTATACTTGTGTTGAAAAAATAAGTTATACGACATCGATAGGAGCCGACATAGATAATTTGGTTGTTTTGATTTTAATCTTTTTGCGATGAAATTCAATCAAAGCTTATAAACACACCTTCAACATTGCAAGAGCTCTCATGTAAATTTTTTTCTCTTGAAGTAATATTTTAAAGAAAATTTACAAATGGACAAACCACTGAATTACATAGCCCAAACGAAAGTTTAGAATCAAAAGACATGTACTTTATGCTTAGAAATAAAAGCTCTACTTTCCAAAACTCAATTTCAAAAACTGGTTTATTATTATTATTTTTCTTCATCCCCTCCAAAACTAATGACCTTTACTGCAAACTACGCTGTTAGCAATACCGGCTCAAATCCTTGCATCTGTGAATATGCGCGCATCTTCATGACCAAGGTTACAACTACGTAAATACGGACGAGATGAACACACATCTTTTTGTATACACCCAATTATTCTAATGAATGAGTATACGAAAATACGAAACTCTTCATCAGTAAAACATGATTAGACATAGAAAAGCTTACGTTGTGGGAACTAGTTTGAGCTAATTCGTGAAACTTGAAAAGCATGTAAAAGGTCATCGGATGTACTTTGTGCCTAAAATGCGAGACTAAAATCCAAATCCAAACGCGTGTCAAAGAAACTTGACGCAATTTGACGTATATATATGGACTTGTAGTAAAACCTCCTCATCTCATTGAATTACAGCACATTTAGTGACCATGTAACTTTTCAAGGTAACAAGGTCAAAGAATTAATTTCCATCAAGGTGATAAAACATTAACCACCCTCACACTTAGCCAAGCCAAACTTAAAACAACACATACACTAGAGGTTAAACATGACTTTTCAGAGAACTGTCATGCAGAATAAACAAACTGATGGAGTGAACAAATTTGAATTGCGGTTTCAGATTCAAGTTGGTATCAACGTCTGTCTCTTCAGAAAATACATCCAAACTCTGTCTTTTCCAGTTCCCGCCTCATCATCCACGGGTGTGATGTCCTGTGCCTCAAATTACGCTAATTCTAAAATAAAGCAATTCCTCGAGTCCAGTCCCGTTGCAGAATAAAAAACTCGACTGTATCATTGATACAAGTGAGAAAAGTACATCAACTGCTTTAGCTCGAGCCTGAAGCTCAGAGAATGAAGACAAGAATTTGGGACTTCTGAATGTTCGAAGTTCGAAATGTTTCAAATTCAGATTGGACCACTCGGATGGGCTCTGGTTTGGAAGACTGCTTGATTACGGTGACTTGAGTCAAACTGATGAGGTTGAAATTACGATTCCATGGTCGGAAAGAGTTGCAAGTTCTGGACAGTACGAGCAGAAGTATCGAAGAATACCTGGGAGCCAGACCATCATCGTGAAGAACGAACACTCGTCGAGTGTTGCTCCTCTCGGAACCTAAATACCGCTTGTGGGAGCAGCTCTCCCCAATCATCCTCTATCACCGGACGAATCATGAATTTGACTTCTTGACCGGATCGTTCACACAAGTGGCGACTTGTACATCAGTTCAAAACGCAAGACGGAAAACGTCAAACATTGATCATCTGCCGGTGAAGTGTTAGAACAGGCCAGACATGAGCGCTTCGAGTGGACAAGATTATAACTGCAGTGAACTGCAGTTTTAGGCCATAACACGCCTGGTCTGAGAAGTTCATCGAGTAGAAATATGGTTATATTAGGTAACCAACATCTTGACACAAGACTAGCAATCATAACCACAAGAGCTTGATTGCTGTAGAGTCCCGAGAAGAGTCCAGTCTACTTTTGTGAGTTAGTGCCCTACGGTATTCCAGTTCCTCGTACCGGGCAGAGTAGGGTGTAACTGCCGCAGGCAGAGCCATGAAATCCAAATTGCTATGCAGCTGGAGCAGACAAAGCTGTGCTATCCTCCCTTCCTTTCATAGTAGGGTGTCACTGGACGAGGTGGGGTGGCACATCAGCACATCTTGCTTAGTGGGTGGTACTTTTTTTTATACTCATAGAGGGTGTCAGAGAAGTAAGGGATGGAGAAGAAGGTCGACCGGTCGATCGTCTCTTCCGATCGAAGATTTGGACGAATTAGTGTAGCAGAAGCAGCAGCAGCAGCTCCTCTGATGTCTAACCGATACATTTGAACAACCTGACCATTTGTCGTATGCTACAAGTTGGGGACGCGTGAGGGAGCAAGATGCAAAAGATGTTGGTCGAGAAGCCCAGCTCTGGCCTAAGAGACTTGAGTAGAATTTGTCGGGTGCTCACGGTGGAGAATATTGTGTAAGTATGTTACAATCTGGAACACGTTTTCTTCCTTTAGAGTAGTGGCCTACGGTAATCCACAAGCCCTGTTCACGGAGCTCAAACGTTGTGTTCTTCAGTTCTGTCCATCTGCATTGCAATTTTCAAAACTCTCTGGATAATACTTATCCTCCCTTGTATGCATCTGTAGCTTCCAGTGTCAGAACATGTAGTTAAAAAAGGTTAATATGAATCAGACAAGATAGAGTGCGAAGCTTTTTCTCATGAGTATTGGGAACGCAACATCAGTTTGCTGAACCTTACTCGAAGTAGCGTGAAGTAGCAAGACATTGGACCGTGCCAATGTCTTGCTCTTGCTCTGACACATCTCTAGATATCGTCGTTCAAAACCTCAAACTCCACCCCTTTACTACCCACATACACTTCTTGGAAAATATATGATACTTGGGCAGAGGACGTACTTGCCATTCATCCAGGCTGAGCAAATAATTCAAAGTAAAGGTGAGTTAAAGGCCGCGAACCTAATATCTGATGTTGTACTTGCCGAACGTTCTGAAGTCTCTAAAGCCTATTCTTTGGTCAGACCCCACAAGAAGACTGTCGATCTGCAAAGAAACAAATAATCACCAGATCTCTAAGCAGAATGTATCTACTCTGCTTTAACTTTGCCATCTCAGAGAGGGAGAGATCCTTGTAAAACCTAGAAGAAAAATCTTGCAACCATTGTAAGTAATAGCCGATTCATCTTCCAAAGTAATGTGTACATTACCATCCAACCCCATTGGATTCATCCTTGTACGACTTGATGGGGTCTTCGAAAGTTCTTTCAGTATTACTCGCTACGCCCATTGTGATGGGTCCAAGGTCCGAACACAGTGCAGTTTTGTAGCCAAGCCCACCTTACATGTGGAAGGAGTTGGCTTTTACGTGAATTGTCGATGCAACACCAGCACAAGGGTTATAACTTGTTTGGAAAGTATTGATGTAGAATGACAAATTGAAAATTTAGGTTGGAACGGAATGCTTCGAGCGACGACACCTACTGCTTTGAGTAGGTGCCAACTACATAGGGTACTCCTGGACACACAACATTCTGTCCAATCTGTGTATCGAGAAAGCTGCTATCAAGCCTGACGTTCACACATTCGCCCTAGTGCTCCTTACATTTGTGGCCAATAATTCACTTGTGGGAAGACCTGCATATTGCCTGGGATCTCACGGCAAATGAGGAAAAATAAAAGTATGTAGTTCGCAATTGGCCCATTTCCCATCATTGCTCTGTGGGTGAACATCAAGGTGTTTATGAATAAGAATTATCGCAGAAATCGAGGTGTGGCGGGGTTTAATTTCCAGTGTTGGTCAATTATATACTTCTGTTCATTTGCAACTTGATGCTGCAACAAACGCGGAGGAGCTCGTACCACAGGGATACCAGTTCCTTAACGAGTTTTTCGAAACTGCACATTGATTAATTTAACTTGAAGTCGAAGAGCAGAGACTGCAAAATAGAATTGAGAACAGAATAATTGCGGCGATCGTTCGGCACATCTCATCAGAAGCCTCAAGGTTCTTCAAAGAAGACACTGGGATAACAGACAGCAGCTACTCGCAGACAAGAGGATGAGTTTGCGAGCCATTGTGCAAGCCTTGCAGCGTCGTGAGAGTGTTTCGGAATTTGCAGATGGCTGTTGACCATGTGGTACCAGTACATGCATCCGCTCGACATGCAGTGCAGCAATTTGCCGGACGTAGCGGAACATCAAGGTGTAGTCTTCTTCAGATCTTCAGATCCTCCTTGACTTTTGACTTTCCCATTCCGGACGACACTCAGGGATTGGCTTATACAGCACTTCTCCCTCCCACCATCCTCCTCCCTCGCCCCTCCTCCTCCTCCTCCTCCTCCTTCGCCTCTGACAGCCGTATCTGTGCCGAGTTACCTGCGTGAAAACCATTCCACCGCATCGCCGATATCAACATTCGGAGCCTGGAGATACTTCCCTCCATCCTGCCGTCTTAGAAAGTATTAGAAAACTGACTCCACCACATTTCCGTAATGCAACAAACCCAGATCAACCAAAATCGACCAGCTCGGCAATCCCGATCGCATTGAGATCGCAGTTTACGAACGCAGCGATCGGCTGAAACATCACAATCCGGCATCTGAGCCCAATCGGAGCTCGCGACGAGCAAAATCGAGAGCAAAAGCTCCCCGAGGCTCGTCGTCATCTTCAGCGTCAGGCTAAACTGGAAATCTCTGGGCATGGAAATCTTGGACGAATCCACGTGGGGTGCGAATGGACGAAATTACCATACCCGACCAGGGCGGGCGGGCCAGGGCAGGGCCGCGCCATCTGGCTCGTGGCGCGGTGGCGCGGCCGCTGTTCTGGGGCTTTATGTGCCGCTGCCGCTTCTGGCGGGCTGGCTGGCTCTGCGTCGAGGCGTCTGGGATGTCGGAGACTCATGCAGGCGAGGAGGAGGTACAGAAGAAGAGGGAGCGAGGGAAGAGGAGGCTTTTGGGGCAATCTGCGAGGGAGAGATGGTGGCAGTTGGGTACTGAGGCCTGGATGGATACCACTGGGGAAAATCGGCGGGATCTGCAAGCCTCACCTAGAGCGGGCACAAAAAGCTGGAGTTGGGTAGGCTGTAATCGGCTGGAGGAGGCGAACTGGGTTCGCGCGCGAAAGCAAGGCGAATTTTTTAATCAGAGTGTCGGGATGCTGCATACAATGCTACGTATTTTAAAATGTGACAGGCAGTTGCAGTATCTAGTGCAAGACGGCCTTACAAGTTCATACCTTTTACTGTAGTGGCAGCTCGAATTGTTCGGCAATTGGCTCACGCGTTTCTAGGGTTGGGAGTGCCGCAGAGAACCATTTCCAGTATATGGGTGTGTGTCAGGCGAGCATCGTCGAATGACGACCGAATAGCTGGAGCAGAACATCGTGTCAAAAGAGTACATGGGCAGAGTTGCTAGCCGTGCATTGCAGACATTCAATGGATTACTCTTCGTGATCAAATTTTGCGTACCTTTAGGTTTTCTTCCAATCGTACAGTACCTCGTCGACGTACTCACTGCATCAAATAATCAGAGATCTTACTGAGTTTGGTTAAATTTGTTCGGGTAAACAGCACGGTGTCCCAGAGCGAATGCCAGGGTAGGTGACGTTTCATGTCCTTCGGCGAAGCTACCGTGCAAGATCGTGGAAGTGTAATTTGTAGACTACCAAATATCTACATGAGCCGTCTGTTTAATCAACTCCCAGTTTCCCAATTAAGCACATGGCCAAAGACGGATGTGTGATGTGTGGACATCTGATGACGATCCGTGACAAAACTCGCGCTGATTATGAAAAGCTGCTCGTGTCCTTGCTTGTCCATGAACTTTGCCACTTGCCAATCTGAAACTGGGAAATTGCGTCCCATTGGTGGCAGCCCTTTTCACAGAGCCAGCTACGCTACCGCCGCGATCCTCCAAAAGGTCGCTAGTGCTCATTCAGAGAGGAGTAATAGATTTTCCCTGCTGGACCTCACAGTTTCATCTCATTCATCTGCCTCTTCCTTCTACTCACGACTGTCTACCCTCGGTTGGAATTTCGTCAAGGGTGCTAGGCCTCTTCGCCTCTGACCTGACTTACTTCCAATTCAGATTGCAGCCAAACTTGTTTGCACAGGCATTCAGCGTGCTCTGGTCCCTAGACACGAAAGTCGATGACAAGGAGAGGCCGTGATAATCGTGACTGACAGTTTTGCCAGAAGGATCCAAGGTAGAATCAGATGTCCGTAAGGAAGTCAAAGACAAAGAAACTACTTTCGCGTAAAAATTTCACTCCTTCATTCTCGAATATCTTAACAAGGCAATCGTGAGATCCAACCCCCTGTTCGTAGTTTTCATTACCACGTGCCGATTTTTGTTTCACTACAATCGTTCGTTTCACACGACTGGGCTCAGGACGGTTTCCCGTGCAGCGAAATGGGGCTTCGAGGCATCACCGATTATTGCGACACAGGATTGATAGTTGCTCACGTCCCATTCGTCCACCACTTATTGGACCTGTCTGTCCTATACTCCTGCTCACAGGCGTTAGGTTTTATTTTTACTTTCCTCGCTGATCTTCTACAGAGGAACGTAGTTGATGTCATACTCCCTATGTGCTACGTCGAACGTCCCACCTTCACTGCGTCAATGATTCGGATACGATTTGTCGTCCTTAGAGGCTACGGATTTATAACCTCCACATTCAGCAACACAGTTTGTCCCGGTATCATTTCCACCAAACTCCATTCATTTTATTAAATTTATTGCTATCTGAAAGGAATATTCATGCCAGTGGATCAAGCGCTATCTCGTGACGTCCGTGGAGTTGAAGTGAATCAGTGTAAGGACATTGCTCGCTAGCACAATCGGTTGGCGTATCAATCTACACAGCGGCCTTCAGTTTCTTAAATTTGTTCGTTTCCGAGTTGGAGATTAGTTAAAACCACTTTCTTCGAGATGTCATCTGGCGGGGCCGCACATTACTGCAACTCCTGTCTGTGCTGAAGTGACGTTTTCATATTAATTCTCCAAAATAACATACCATCTAAGAGAACCTCGGGATGGCAAGTCCTATTTCCACATCTAGTCTAATCCTAGTCCACTAAACTTTCTGGAGTAACTTGTGGGTCCTTTGACCGTGATACGATAAGCCTCTGTATAAAATGTTGGTTACAAAGCTTCTTCCAAAACAGCTTCTTCTCCTAAAACTCATGAAATCCAGCAGCAAAATCTCACTACAAGGTACAGAACAAGGTACAAGTGAATAATCATCGTCGTCATGACCGATGTTTTCCATTCATGCATCGACAATTTTTTATAATTAGCCACCACAACACCTTTCCTCCTCACTACCTTTCCGAATCCGATTTTCTTCCTTTCCCCCGCCGCTCACTCAGCGAGCCGCAGAATGAACACATGTACATGCGTAGAGGAGGAGAGCAGCTCGCAAGGACGACCAAAACACTAACTAGCACCAACTAATAATTTTGCTGCCTACAGACTCGGAAAAGAACTCAGGTTCGGAGAGGAGGGGCCACATTGATCGCAACAATACAGCATTTAGCATTTCGCTTCTCGCAATGTGGTGAGAACCCCAGAGCATTCGTTCCTCTAGATGACCAAAATTGTTGGGAATTCGACCTGTGTCTCGCTTTTGTCCGACTTTCAAACTTGAGGCTCCAACACGAGGTATGGCTGGTGAAACGGACAAATAATCGTGGCAGCAGTGCGTCACCATGACCGTCTTCGCCCTTACTTCCCGGGAACGGAAGTAAGAGACTCCACTCCCCTCTCTCCGACATCCGACCTCGTCCTCCACTCCCACACGCTCTCGACGCAGCAAAATTCTCAGCAGGCACCAAAAATCTAAAACGGTCACTTCATTTCTATGTTCGAGACGCCTCCACGCGACGATGAGAAAGATGCGGCGGATCCCACTTTCGCAGAGCACGTTGTACTACAACACCGCAACCCAGATGCCAGCAATCGCGATTCCGAACCCGCAGCAGCAGCAGCTCGGAAACAAGCAAAAGCAGCAGAAATCGTTGCGTCAAAATTCTCCTCAACCACGCTAATTTTTTCGGCCCGAGAGCGAGACACACGGCCTGCGGGGACCAACCATCCCGCTCCCACACGAAGCGAGCGAGACTGCCCCGACGGCAGGCGCCATCTCTAAAACCTCTCGGTTCACTACATGAACGTGAGCTTCCACGTCACCGCCAGCACCAGAGCCAGCCAAGCCAACGAGAATTGGTGTCGAGTCGCTACGCTCGTCGTGCTGGTCGAGTTCGTCGGGTCCGACCCGCTCGACACGTACAAGCAGCCCGGGTAGCTGGGATCGGTCGAGGTGACCTCGGCCAGGCCATTGAAATCGCACGAGCCCGCAGCCCAGCTCACCTTTTGGTAGTAGCTATTGAATGCGTACGACGCATGGTCTCGCATGGTGTTGGGCAGGAAGCAGAATTGGCCCGACTGAATGGCGCGACAATCCGCCTGACCTCCCGTCGAGCTGCAGGCCCAATCCAGAGCAAGTTGCAGGTCCTCGGTCCGCGACCCTTCCTTGGCAATGCACCACGTCTTATCAGCCAGCAGCTTCCGCCTCACGCCAGAGTCCATCGCCGCGCTGCCGGGCGCCCTGAGAAATTCGACGTCCCCCGTCGAGGCCTCGAGGCTGGAGAGAAGGCTCGCCTGCACGAAGGTGCTAATTGCGCCCTTGCGCGGCTTGAATGGCGTCCCGGTGCCGGAGGCGATGTGCTTCAGAAGGTCCGCGTGGAAGCTAACGGCGGCCGGGTCGTCGTTCGCCGCCGAATCCTTCGACCAGCCCGCCTCCGTGACCACGACGTCGAGCTCCGGATGGTTCAGCGACGCCATTGCGACGTAGACTGCGTCGACGAGCGCCTCGAACTTGTTGGCGTAGTGCAGCCCCGTGACGTGGTCGTCGATTCCCGACTCGGTCGAGTAGAGCGCGTGGCCCAGCGTCAGGTCTCTCGGGTTCGCCTGTTGCACGTCGAACGGGTGCAGATTCAGCATGAAGTAGGACTCGGTGAGGGACAGGAACTCGAGGACCGGTGCCAGGACGCGGGTGGACAGAGAGGCGTCGAACGTTGCCAGAGACGGTGGGGAGAAGGTGGACAAGAGGCGCAGAGACTGCGGCGTCGAGACTTTGATCGCTTGCTCGAGGCCAGCTGCGGCGAGGGCCGCGTGGATGTTTCTCATCGCCGGGACAAGAAAAGGCACCAGGCTCTCATCCTTGTTGGTGAGAATCTCGTCTCCCACCGCAATCGCTGTGATTTTCGTGTCGGGAAAATACGCTTCCACATTTCGAGCAACCCAGCTGTGAGCGGAAGTTTTCGAAACTCCGACATCGACGAGCTCGTCGTTTCGCAGACCCACAATCACCTCGATGGACGACCCGCCGAGTGCACGCAGCATTGCCGAATCCGCATCGTACAGCCTCAGCTTATGAATACCCTGCGCTCTCAACAATTGCACTGCGTTCTCTGCGCCTCCCGCAGCCAACGCAGCTTCTTCCCCATAAATTACTCCGATTTTCGTCGCTGCTGCTGTCCCTATCCAGACCACTTGTATCACACATAAAACTCGGAGCACGAATCCTAGATGCATGGCAACCAACCTGCCTTCGAATCCGGCCTGAAAACGTCGCCCGATTTTTTTCCTTCTCGCGGGTTGGACAGACTGCTCTTGATGACGACGAGGAAGCAGTCGACTCAGCTCCCTCTGTTCCAGCAAGAGGAGGTAGCCCCTTGTCGACGATCAGCTAGCATCAGCAGAGGGGAACGCTGCGGGTCCGACGAGAGACTCGCCCAAGCACAGGAACGGGGAGCTGGAGGAAGGGGAAGAAGCGACCGGATGATGACGAACGAGCTTGTTCACTCAGCACCCACCCAGCTCCTCAAATCTCACAGGCAGCAGCGCAGCAGCAGGATGATGAGACGGAGAGAATGTGAACAGCGCGAGGAAGAAAAGAGGTTGAAGAATAGGACGATTCGGAAAGGATGCTGGACTGGAGTGATGGTAGTACTAATGCGCGAGAGCAGGAGCTGCTGCTGCTGGCTCCCTCCCTCGCGTTCGCTACTCCCACTCACTCACCCACTGATCACACTCCCGTCTTCTGTTGCGTCCCGGTGAAGCCCGACCCTGGCCAACACTGGTTTTATCCAAAGAGAATGAACCACCCCCGGCCGGACATCATAAACCCTAACCCGTGATTATGTATTCCTGCCCGTTCCCTCGTACGAGTATTCCTCCCTTTCTTGACGGTGGTACAATTTTGTGAACGGTTCCGTATCCCCTTGGAACTGTACCATTGAAAGTCTGGATGCCATCCGGCCCGACTGTAACTTTTCGGCTAGACTTCAAAACCCTCTCCCGTTCTTCCCGTTTCTCCGTAGTTGTTGCTCTCGCCTTTTATACTCTACTGGGTTGTGCATAATTCTCTTCAAAAGGTATTGGGGTCAGAACAAGGCAGCAGAAAGCTTTTCTGTTTTTCTGCATGAAAGTATCGGGCTCGACATCACCCCTGGAATTTTCAATTATTAAGGTTGATATTCCCAGGTTGAGTACGACAGACATAAGGAACCCGATTAAACTGAATAATATCATTCTTTACTGGAAGTGTATGTGCAAGGAAATGAGTCTCGAGACTTGAATGACACATCAAGCAAACAAGATTCTAGCCAAATATGGATCCCACGGAACGCATCCACGTTGGAATATACACTTCATTGGCAACAAAAGTGAACGTATGCCTGACGTGCTGGAGCCTTTCAATATGATATATGCAAACTTTCGAAGTTCAAACAGATTGCGAGTCACGTGACACGTGTTCCGTTTCAGCTGACTTCTACAACGGACCCTCGGGTTGGTAGAGACGGTTGGATGTTGGTCTACTGTGACATCAACAAGGTTTGGTAGAGGCTAATACTGTATCCTGGATGGTACATGTAGCCTGGTTTATTGCGACATTTAGGCGCATGACTGGAGTATTTTTAGCGACTTACGTAGTAGAAGATAACTTCTGCGTGGCAAGGTGACCGATCTCTTTATCGTTGACCTCCAAAAGAGACGTTCGCGGTACTATACTACTCATACTACTGTAGTACTTCATCGGTAACTATGGTAAGGGTTGTAAAGGTTGCCGGGTTGTAATCATACCAACGGTCTGCAAGAACAACCAACTGCCGTCAAAACTCAATCTGCTCCTCGCCAGTTGCACATGACGTAGTACTCGATAGACGATACATTACCGCGTTGTCTGCGTACCATAGTAGGGCTTCTCTACCTTGTCGCAACGGTCCCTGATTCCAAGGCCAGCTCAATTAAGTGACCGGAACTCCTCACTATGAAATGAACATTCCCACTAAAGAAAATACCGTTTCCGCTAAATTAAGAGGTTTATTTTAATTTCTCGGACAGTATAGTCCGCCTTGTGTACGCGTTATAGCAGCGCATGCACTAATCCCGTTCATTACCAGAAGGCCGTTCCTGCCTAATTTAGATATCGCCCATCGACCCTCGGACAGCAGAACCCGATCTTTTCTATACTCAGAAAATGGGCCGTACGAGAAGTTTTCTGTACTCTCTGATTGATTGATCAGGTTGCCTCCACTGCAGGACGATGTAGGTGTTGAGCGGCTGTAAAACATCAAGTCTCCACGCCCAAATTTGCCTCGAGAAGAAAAGAGAGATAATGAATTTATCATACAGAGGGTTTTGAGGTCCTCAACTAACGCAGGATAAAATGTCCAAAACAATATAGCAAAGAAAGAGGTTATCGTAGAGAGGGGGCTAGAGTGAACTAAATACTAGGATATAAAATACTATGTACTGCTCCCAACAAGTCCTACCATGAAAAAAACAAATAAAAAATCAAGGAATAGCTTTGATATTCAAATCATTTATCTTAAACGAATTACAAACAACATGGGCTTTTGATATGACATCAAATGATTTTGAACAAATTAGTTTCTGCACGCATTCAAAAAAATGTATAATTTCAATCACATAGCTTGTAACTATAACAACAAATGGATTGTCCGTTTGCATATAATTATAAACGAAAAAACTTGATTGATGTCACCACACTGACCCATCATCTTGAAAATTGTAAAAACTATCACATATACTGAACTAAATGTATAGGGTGTAGGATCGATAATCATCAAATCTTCATCCGTAACTTAAATCTTTCCAAACAAGGTTAGATTTGTTTGAATTCTTTTTGAATGAATTGCAATCAATAATGTATTTGTTCTCATCATCCATCCATAACAGTATGAAATGCCATCGTGAAGAATTAAGATTTGTCTTTCAAAATGTGCATTGAGTATTGTAAATCATTGCTGGAGCTAATTAGTAACCCATCCATATGTAAGGAATACTTATTTTGTCTTTGAAAATGTTCACAATAACAAACAGTTTCAACCAAATCAACACACCAAAATATGTCTGAGCTGAACAAAAGTACGTCCACAAAACACAGAGATTCTCTCAATGAAAAAGCGGAATTTATATGATAGAGAGCTTACGCTAGCTTTCTAATGTAGTGTTAGTCAACGAACTTAACTAAAAGTAATCAGATCAAGATCAAAGTGAACTCCAAGCATGACACATTAAGCTCAAACAAGATACAAGTCAGCATTGTATCAATTTCACATTATAAACTTCCAATGCATGATCAAATCAATACCCAGTAGCATACATTTTAGGAAAAGCAAAAATGTGAACAAAACCAACAAGTACATATTATAATTATGATTATATCAAAATGCATGTAAAATATAAAAATTAAGAGCTCATGTCATATCTAAACACTATATTGTCTTTAACATGATGTACATTTACCTATACATTTTATGATTATGCATACATACTCTAACATTACACTATGAATATGTGATATACTAAAAAATGTATATCTTCATCAAACAGAACATGATAAACCTATCTGCAGTCATGAATACAAATAATAACAAGAGTATTCATTCTATTCAATTGACTATAACTTCTTAAGGCGAAATCTATGCTGTCAATAAAAAAAACATTGATAAAGACATTTTTTTGAAAGTTTTGTATGAATTGATAGGTCTAGTATTGATGTCTTTTTCCATAATCAAATCCTCAATCACACATTCAAAATTTTCTAATTTGATGATGTCACATATATACGTTTATAATATGCATATCAAATTATATTTCAACGTGAACAAGCAAATCATGTGAAGATGAAAGTGTTATTAAAATTATATGTAAATCAACAAAAAAATACTAAAATATAATATATCAAATATCATATGTGTATAGTGATAGAAAAAATCATCTATATGTAATAAATCATGAGTTATTATAACTTTCACTTAATTACTAAGTGTAACTAACCATCTTAAGAAACATAAGCCATTTGAATATTTTCAAACAAATTGAATAATTGACCAATGATGTTTCACAATTTTATGATGATACAAGTTAAGCTAATATGAACATGGATGCTATTGGAAGATAGTAAGTGTTGTATGACCACTTTTATCACTACTCAGTCATGAAAATAACTTGTCAATTGCAGTCAACATAATGTACTAATTTTTGTTTCATAGATGAAAAGTTGACCAGCAGTTAAGGGTTAAAAAATCATATATATACAAAGTTGCTTCATCTGATTTTATAAGATAAATGATTTAGAATGTTTTTCTTTTTACTTTTATAATTTAGCATTAGATTGTGGCATTTACTCTAAAAGCCTTACCCCCCACCCCCATCCCACAAATAAAAAATAACCAAGGACTTTATGAGAGAAATTTTGTTAGAAAAATTCTGATGTACTATCAGCTTTACTGGCTCTAATCTCATAGAATCATGAATGTCCACACTGTGGACATTTGTTCACTGTACAGTACTTGGTATCAACTTCAAGAACAGATATCTAACGTAGGAAAAATTGAAGTTCCAAGGCCGAGGTTACCAACCCATCTTTGTCTTTACTCGCGATAATCATTCGCAGTAAAGTTCTTTCACCTTTGATAAGGATAATCATCACCTTTGGATTCTGAATTTCTAAGTTGTCATAGAACCAGCTGCCATGGCATATGCCAGTGCCATATCTACTTTGTGTCATTGTTCAAGTAGGTACGGAAACTCCCATTCTCACGTATGAAAGCTAAAGAGCACTCCAAGGTTTCGCTGAATTCCTCGCTGGCAGCCCATCCTAAGAGAAGTACTTTTACTACAGTAGGACATGGCAAATTACTGAACATTACATTGTCCTCGCTGAGTGTTTTCATTTGACCTGTACTCTCATCTCCCACACGAGGACTCTACATGTACATACACACAGATGATCGAGTGGACAAAATTAGACCGATCGTGACCATTAATTGAGCATGTGGCACAATGAATGAACAGAGTAAGTTGGATGCTCGCGTCCACTAGAACCCTGGTGATTGTTGTAATAGCTGCTGAGAACTGTAGCTCGGTCTTTGCCAGCAGTAGAAAAAAGTTCCAGAGTTCCATGTCTGGTTGAGGAGAGTACAAGCAGTTTAATTTTGTCGTTTCGACCTTTTCCAAGGGCCAACATTGAGCTTGACGTTGTCCCCCACATGGACAGACGCTAGATATAAACTTTGCTAAATTGTGCATTTAGCATTAACATAGCAAAGTAAGCACTAAAATTTTCTAAAGTATACCTGTAACAAGAGCTAGCCCCATTATCATTTAGCGTTAACCATCTCGTTATCCCAAATATCTGACTCAAGGTTTGTAAATGTAAATTATGTGTATTTTATACTAAATTAAATTAGCTTCTATTATTTGTAAAACAAAAAAAAATTACTACCTCCTACTGATATTTCAGTTAGTCTTTCACGAAAACATGTTCAACGTTGGTTATTAAATTTTCATAGAACTCGGGCTTAACCTCAATATTATTTACAATATATATGAATATGTTCATTTTCACATCGGTAAAAAATACACATTTTATAATGCATTATGCAAAACACAAAAAGACACATATATATATATATATATATATATATATATATATGTTCAAATGGCGATATAAACTTCATGCACAATTTTCATCAGTAACTTTATCACTTCAAAGATAAAAAAAATTGTTCATGATACATCTAGCGTAATTTATCATTCACAATTTTGCATAAATCAATTAGTGAGAGTACATGTATCAACCATACAATGCAAGAAAAATCATGCACTTCACGAATCTTCTTTCATGCGCTCAAAATTATATTCTCATGACAACTTAGATGATATGGACAAATTATAATTTTGAATACAACAAAACCAAATATGAATATAAAATAAGGTATCTTCTACCATGATCCAAATATATATTCAACTAGGTCAGAATGAACGATGGCAGTAAATTGATATAATTGAAAAGAACTGTGTAATTCACGTATCGAATATATAAAAACGTCACTAAATTCCATAGTTTAAAAATTCACTTCATCTATGCATAAATTTCTTTAAAGTGTTAGATATACTCAACAATGATAATGGGATCAAAAAACAAGAAGAATTCCCTCTTCACTTTATTTGCAAAGTATAACCGTACAACATGTGAAGATCTACTCCAGTTACTTACATAATCCACTCTCTCGCTCCCGTCATTGCCAGCGAACACGTTCAAGCAAGAAATAGAGATTTCTCGGGAGCCACCTTGTAAATGCTTGCGACGAGACGGAGACGGAGACAAGACGGAGTCGGCTTTTAGCGCTAGAGACATGTTTCTCCGCAAATCAGAGTCTTCTTAGAGTGTTTTTAGGACAAGAAAGTCGCATATTAATCTGTTCAAATTATTTTTTTCTCACCACTCTAATTTCTGTCTAAAATTCTAAACTGTAAGACTGCAGATGGTATGTCCTTACAGGCAGGAAGTAGTTAGGTATCACAAAGGTATGCTTTGATTATACTCTCAGTTGCTGCAGGAATACGAACGGACCATATTAATGGATGCAGATTATCTTCACAATCACAGAGAGGCAATAGAATCGTATGCTGTACAGAGATTTAACTCTAAGTAGATCCTGCGTGCTGGATGCAACATTTAAGCGCCGTATAAATACAGAAGTGTGATATTAGATGTTTGTTACTACATCATGTGTTATTACGTCAGCCCTGGAAACATTTCCTACGAAAGCAAATTCCAACGGTCTCAGCATGGTATCTCAGCATGATTCCCCCTCCTATGTGATAGACATAAATGAAACCATAACCCGAATCCCCACATCTTAACAAACATTCCAATCGACGGTCATCAAAGCAGATAATGGGAATCTAGACATTCTTTGAAGATTCCACGATTTAAGAGATATCATCACTCCAAAATGACGGGGACCAAAGAAATGAGACCTCATAAATCCGCCCACTTCTGAGCGAAGCATGTTCATCGGACTTCATACGACAAATGCCTCGACCTAAATTCGCCTGTTCGGACTAATCCGATCTAAGAACTGTCGGACGTTCCCGGCAATAACCCAGTCTAACTTAACCGCTAGTTTAGTCACATGCGTGGTTAAGTAGGGAAGTTAGTTCCCATAGTTGATATGCACTAAACATGATATACATGAAGATTTTCGGGGAGTAGTGCGTATGAGGGATCCAATTGTTTGTATTAGTTAGGTTCTCATTTTACATGCCAAGCCGTCTTGAGAGGATTAAATTCACGGTACTGAATCGGTGATCTAGATACTCTGAAGCTACTCATGGGAACTATGACAGACTTTTGCACATCATCATTACTTTAGTATTGAATATAAAGTTTTAGAGTCTGAAAAGGCGCAAAAGGAGCACCAAAGTTACTAAACCAAGTGTACTTTAAACAGCTTTCCTTCGACTACATCCCCAATTGAATTGCTTTTAACCATGCGCAGCTAATCTGTTGTTTTCACTCTGGAGGTTGATGGTAAACATTCACAATCAGATCCTGTTACTGCTACTAAAAAGCTACTTGACTCACTTCCACTATCGGAGCACCTGGAGACCATTCTCTTGTAAAAACTCGATATTTTTCAAGCCTCTAGTTGATAAAAAATAGATGTAGTAATGCTCAGTAAATTTCACCACGTTCGATATTGTCTTTGGGGTCTAGAATTCAAACAGGATAATATCTTTATTGACATAAGTAGTAGGATAAGTTATAACAGGAAGTAAAAAAGGCACATTCCACACAGAAAACCACTGCAGGAAAGGCTTAAAAAAGGTGGTCTAGAAAAAAGCTAGAAACACTGTGTATGGCAAGAGAGGGAAAGAAATTATTCTTCTTAACAGAAAACTTTATTTTCCCGTACGAGAAGTGTCAACATTCCAGGAAAATTTTGAAAAGGAATACCAAAATAATATATACTAAAGGTCAATAGAGGTGCTAGCCTGCAGGAGAGTTCGCTCGTAGAGTCCGTAGGCCTGGAGCGCGGCACTGCATCCAAAAAAACGCACGTGCTCTCCCTCCCTCACTTTCTATCCTCTGAGTATGGATGGAGGTAGATGTTAGCTTAGTACCCACTCTACAACTACAGCTTCCCTGCCCTTTGACTAATCTTTGTCCTCACCGCCAAGATTCGAGCGAGATATTCTTGGCGAGCGCATCAAACAGAATGCTTCGTCTTCATGGTTTCCGATTTTGCATATCTGGAGAAGGAGTCGTCCGTGTATGTTGGAGGAGAAAGCTCGTTCAGCGGAGCGGCTCACTTTAATTCTCGCATGATTTGGCCTTTTCCGAAGTTTAGTCTGGGACAAGAGGATCCGGATGGGATCGCACTACCGCACTAGACCCTTGGAATCGAAAAGTGTAGGCTTCTTGCTCGGCTTTTTGCTGGATAAGCTTGTTTGCTGATTCCAAGGGTGCAGATTCAGCAGAAGATTGCGAGAGTTAGAGTTTGTTCTGGCTTGGAAGGATCACTACGCTCTTACAGACCTCGCACTCTTCTGTTTCTATCCACATAGTTCTTTCTACCGTGACTGAATGGAACTTTTATGTCACATGTCATTATCATGACCCGTGAGACCCTATGCTGGTGTTGCTGCAGTTTTTTCTATATTTATGTTGTCATGCATTATCGGGAAACAAGTCTATTTTGAAAGAGGGGGCAAGTAAGGGCTTCACAAGTGGCGTTCAAATCTTCACGAGAACTATACTAGAAGGTTCTCGGGGTCGCCATAACTATGTTCCATCCGCAACTGATTGAGAAGCCTGTACACGCTGCTGTTACGAGAAACATCTTATGCAATTCATGTCACGCATTATTCGTAAAACCTTCTTCATCTCACCATCTCTAGCCAGACCAAACTCTCGACGATGTTAGGAAAAGGACCAAGATACTAAAGGGGCCTGGATCCTTAAGTTTCTGACTCACAGCTACTGCTGCTTTGCTCTAAATGCTAGGTTCAATGAAATCAACACGGTGTGAAGATGGTTCAAGCATCAGGTAGGCGTCATTTGCTTAGCTCAAGAGCGGCATTCTTGCAAATTACACGTGTTGCGTGGCAGCATAGACTCGCGACGGGAACAGAAGACTCTGGAAGTTATCCAGCTCGAGAGGAATATGGATGTGAGCATTCACATGAACTACCACTTTTTGGGATACGGACACCACTCACCGCTCTGGGTAGTATATTTTGGAATGGTTTGAGCTCTTCCTCTCCTTGAATCTGTTCTTTCTTTTATGCTGCGAGGTTGCTAGTAGGGCCTGGATGATGTATGAGTGCTTGTGTTTAATAAACGATTCCATTTCATTGGGTGGGAAGGTGTGAACTCTTAAAGTGTTTTCATCCCCTGGATGGAATATTGCTAACTGCAACGTACTTGACAAGCTGAAGTTTCTCTCGTGCTTATTGAGAAAGCAGAGTCAACTGGAGGTGTCCTCATTCAAATGCGGGAACTTTCAAGAATGCCCACATCTAGAATGCACAATGCAGAATTTTAAACTCCAAGTTCCTGATTAGAAATTGAGGAAGATGAAACGTCATAACTGCGATGTATCTCGACCTGCACAGTTGTTTTGGAATTCTCTGCTACGAGAAACTGATTTCAAAGATTGAGTATATACACTTTTGGATCGCTCTGTCTCAAAATTGTGCTACTTGGGAAGTGCTCGTAGCAAGTAGAAGGCAAGCCTCCATTCAGGCACTTTTCTTCTAACCAACTCGACTAAACAAGGTGCCAGCCCTGCTGCCAACATTGCAGGATGATTCTCCTCATTCATGCTCAAAGTATACAAAACTGATACTGAAGCAGCCCGAGCTATGTCCGATCCGGATTTTAGCAAATCAGCCAGCTTATCTACAGCTCCTGCCGAAGCTACGGCAGTGGCATATGCATTCGAACCTTGACATAGCAACAGCCTCAAATGTGTGACGGCTCTCTCCCTAACTATTGGCGAAAAGTCGGGACCTAATTCTCTAACCAACCAAGGAATGGTGTCACGAACGTGGACTTCGAAGTCCACAAAAGCTTCTACGGGATTGTCTTCCCCGAAACCCTTACAAACCTGCTCCAGTTTTATCAGAGAAGCTGAGACCCAGTCTTTTATGTTGAGAGGTGCCGATTCATCTTGCAAAATGTTCCTCAATATTTTCGCAAGTTCTGATGGATTCTCAAATTTTGCAGATCTGGCAATTGTCTGCACGAGTCTAGAAAGTGCAGCAACGAACCTGTAGCCGTCCTCGCGATCCAACACTATTTCATCCGACGTTACGACGGTGACTGCAAGTGCCATTTCCAATAAATTAGTTTCATCCAAGCATTATTCTAGGAAGTTTCCTTATTCAGCGATAGAAAATAATAAGTGCAGTAGCCACTTAGCCCTATCCTACATAGAGTTCCCCGATGCCAGCTCAAGACATCACGGACTAGACGACTGAGAGTCGCACGATCCATCTTGAAAGAATGAAGTCATAACTGTATGAAGGAATTGCATGTTCACAGTAGATACCTTCGTCGAACAGAAGTTTCAAAGATTTCGACAGAGATGATTCCACTCCGGCAGCTAAGATAGCATTAGCATTCGAACTGTTGGTAGCCAGTTCATCAAGTAAACACGCAGCCTGCTCCGCATAAGGTACTGAGGCCCTTTCCATTATTTTTAATAGATGAGGAAGGCCACCACCTGTTACGATCCCGTCCCTTACTCACAACAAAGAGGAGAAGCACAAGATAAGGTTCAATTAGGAACATCCCGAGATCACTTACATGAATGCTGTCTTGTCTATCCATGAACACACACTAAATACCTTGGCTCGGATTTCAAAGACGCCACTTCTTCTAAAATTTCTTCAGCTTCTTCTTTTTCTTCAATGCTGGCCCTCTCCGAACTGACTATGTCTATAAGACCAGATATAGTACCATCTTGAATCTGCACAAAGAAAGAAAGCGAAAAGGTGATTCATTTTCATAATGATATAGACACTTATCGTGTTCTATCGATAGTATGATAACCAGAAAGAGCAAAGAAAAACAAATTTCAGGTCTGGAGGGGACGAGTGCATACGACTGCTTCCATTTCTTCTTCTGCTTTTGACAAGCGCGAAAGAGCACAGACCATCTGCATGTAAAATTTATACAAATACAATTAGATCATCCCATACTGAAGTAAGAGACCATACAAATTACAAAATTCTCTCAAAGGACCATACAAAGGATTCTCATGAAATATTTTCACCTCTTCCCTGACGTCATCAGAGGTTTCAACGCTGTTCAGTATCGCGACCAATGCTAATTGCGCATTGTGAGAATTGATGGATCTTCGAACCTGACGACTGCAATATGCACTCCATTAGACTTTCAGTAAACTTCTATGAAACAGAAATACAGTAGCAAGAGTTCTGAAGTTTCAAAAGGTACATGTGCTACTTAGTTCTCACAATGCTGTCTACTGACGCCATAAGTTGCAAGAGATATTAGTGATTGGTCCTAAATAGACGGCATCTATATCTAGACAAAAATGACCAATTTAACCACACTTTAAAAGAGCCAAACCATTGGTATTTCAAATGTCTTACCTGATAGCAAGTTTATTAAGTGTAGAAGTGACAGCTAATGCGATGTCTTCATCACCACATCCTAATAACCGGACAAGATGGGGAATTGCCCCCGACTTCTGTATGGCTTGCCTATTGTCCTCATTAATTGCTATCGATCCTAACGCTTGCACTGCCTGCTTTGCAACGTTCAAATTATCTAATCCGAGAATCAATACAAGTCTTGTAATTCCATCCCACCAGGACATCAAGGTGACTTGTTCGTCTCCACTCTCTTCAGTTTTGGAACTTTTCTTCCCTATCACCCCAACCCTAGCAAGAAACTGTTGTCTCACCCGCCCCTCGATAATGAGACGGGATGCATCATCGATATCGTTGCCACGGCTTTCCCAGTTAAGACCGAGCAAAAGATTACCTGCTCCAAAAGTAGAGGGCACCTTTGGAGCAGTTTGCAGGACATCAACACTTTCAGGAAGAGTAGGGGCCTCTTGTAACAGAGGCTTGAATGATCGGTAAGCACTTGCTCCGATGACAGGTACGAATACTAGTCCTTCTTCTATAATAAGGTGCTCTATGTGCCGCTCTTGTCCCAATCTGATCAAGGCATTCTTCGCCTCCTGCCTAGAAACTTTCGTCCCATGTCCGTCGTCAAGTAGAATCTTTGCCTGTTTAGAAATTATTACACTCTCAGCACTTTCACAATACATTATAGCTGAACTTGAGGAAAAACTTTCAATTTTTTACCACGTACATTGATTCCGTAAAACCCAACATTGATTGATGGAGATCACAAAGGAGGGAAAGAGAAATGAGAAAAACTGACGAGGAACGAAGGTTGGTCGATGTAAGGGATTCATCATATTGCACACTTTTTATGATTCGGATGAGTCTATATACTCTTTACTAGCTTACATGAAAGAGATACAGTATGCGACATCCAAGAAACATCATAGAAAAGCCATTAGCTTCACCTCTAAGAGTTTTTGGAGTGAAACCAAGAAACCAAAAAATACGATTCCATCAAACGAGAGTATAGATCACAAAGAATTACAATTAGCCTATGGTTCACTTACAGTCAGATAACTGAACTGATATTTGATTGAAAAAGAAGTACTTCAGAACAGTGATGTCTGCACTAGGGAAAGAAGAGTTGCAAGATCTTACCAGTTTTGGTATTATGCCCACTTTCACAAGTTCATCAGAGTAACAAGAACTCTGAGTAAGGTTTGCTAAGACTCCAGCTGCAGCTTCTCTTTCTCCATCCTTTTCGGAACCAAGCATACTCGACAGGACTTGCAATATTTCAGGGTTAACAAGCTTAGCTCGTGGTCCTTCTTCCACCGACAAGTTCCACAAAACGCAAGTTGCGTGTTCCCGGACCTGGAAAACGCTCAAATGATCTTGTTAGAGTCAAAACTCTATTTCGCACTTTCAATGTATGGACCACGTTTCATTGATGACTGAACCTCAAAAGAGATATCAGTAGCTTTAATTGCAGTTGAGATAACCGCCACTTTGCAAAAACTTATCACAAGAGTGTAAAATCTAATCTGCTATACTATTGCGTGTCCAGGTGTATGATTGCAACACAGTAGTGGTATTTGAACAAGGTACTAGACCAAAGTAAGCACCTCAACTTCATGGCTTTATGCAGTACCTCGGGTATATCCCGACGTGTAAGAAGGCCTAAAATTTCCTCGAGGGCACCAGCTTCAGTAACAGCAGACCTGTAGGTTTCTATGGATGAAATGTTGCGCAAAACGCCTGCTGCAGCTTCAGCTGCTGCTGTTCTGTGTGATCGCAGGAGGCTCACGATCAAATTAAGACAACCCGGAAATTCCATTATTTGATCTATATAGTATTTTCCGCCAGCGGAGTGCCTCCACAGAGCCCGCACAGCTTCCTCCCTTTCAACCTCAGGATTGTCAAGGCCAAGAAGACGAACGAACACGCCGACATATCCCTCTTGAAGACCGATTGTATCTTCTGAGGTTCCCCTCTCCTCCACTCTTTCAAATTTATTGAGCGAGTCTCCCTCATAAGAAGCCCCCTGCCGACAAGAAAAGTTTGTGTCAACACATCTATCTCAAGTAGAAACATCGAAGCTCCATTCATTTGATCAGATAAAATATAATAGCACCCTCTGGAATAAAACCGATGAGTCTCTTGTCGGGCTTTTCACATAGGCGACAACAACAGATAATTTATTCAATAACGTCATTAGTACATGAGACCTTTAGAGATCACTTAGACATTTGAATTACATTCAAGAGCAGGATGAGCATCGACTTTGCGGACGGCTTAACATTAACATATGACCAATATGAGAATGGCATCTGAAATGTGAATGTGTAATCTAAATGTGTGTGAATGTGAATGTCAAATTCGGAAGCATGTAGGCCAGTGTAAGTCAGAAGTTCGTGCACTACATACTCGACTTGTTCACTCTCTTTACAAGCGAGTCACCAAGAACATTCACCAGAACAGCTTGTACTCTGCTTATGAGTATTTGACTGTCATGGCCTACAGATCACAGACCCCACACTCTGACTGAGTGGTGCTATGGTAACAGGAGGAGAGAAAGAAGTGACGGGGAATAAAGTGGAAGGAAGGCATAGAGAGGGAAGTGGTGAAGCGGGATTCATAATTCACGTTCTTTCGGAGCTTCCAAGTGTCAGGCCAGCAACCCTTCAGTAACAGTAGTGTTTTGCGTCCCCAACAGACAATCAGCTTTGTGATTCGGCTGGGAATGTTTAGAGCAGGTTTCCGCTCCAGCCATAGACTGAGTCCGTAGTAATGATTTCGCTCTCACTCAGTAAAAATTGCTGTTGCATGCAACCAGATTATGGCACGGTTCCGTCGTCGTTGCCACTAAGTTTTCATGTAGCAGGGTTTCAAATCTTGCTCTTCTCATGGTGTAAAATAATTTTCCTAAATGGAATTATAACATATACCTAGTGCATATGCACGGACCTCCCTAATATCTTGCAGGGGAACAAAGGACTCGGGGTTCATTGTAGACAGGAGTTCAAATATGTGATTCATATGACAGCCAGTCATCGTCTCCAATACTATGGCTTTATCAGCTCGGCTGACATGCAATGGAAAAAACACCATGATTCCATCATCTCCTATCACTCTGTCGAGGTGAGAAGATTTATTAGCAAATATATCTTGTCATATATTTCTGTAACACACTTTAGAGATATACTGCATGTAACTACTCTTGCAAGTACGCCTCTATACGTTTTCATTAACTTTCACATAATTACGTTCGATTCTTAGATATATTGCCCCTTAGCACAAGAGATCATTGTCGGGTAAACGGATATAAACTAATAACCTTGAATTTCAATACTCTAATGGGCATGGAAGCGGGCACTGCGCTGTATCTTGTTCTATAAGCATGAACTGTAATCCACTTCGGAATTTCAGCAAGCTGTTCTTATTCATAAACATTACTTACTTCACTTCCAGTTTTCAAAGCTCAAGAGGTTACATGGTTCATGCCAAACCCCCTACTTGCAGGTTCAGACTGACTATCACAAGCACAAGAGTTTACACAAATCCGAGCTCGACGGAATAGAAAGATGCGTCCCTTATTTAAACTCGAAAAATTCAGCAGTATGATCGACAGGACAACTGCGCTTGTTGCATGATCTCAATGTAAGATTATCCGAGTTTAAAACGCAGTGCCAGCTGAGCAGTTCCGTCAATGAAATGAAAATAACGAGAATGCTAAAGTCGGTAGCTACCGCTTACTTTAACGTCAAACCCACATGCTGTGGACTGTTATGAAGAATACCCACGACAAAGATAACTAGAATTCCAATGACAGAGAGTTGAAAAGCTTACCAAGTAGTTCAGAACCTCGTCAATTGCAGGTGGAGTAGAATCATCAAGTTCACCATCGGAATTATTCCCACTCTGAGTACTCACTCCCAAAATTTTCCTCTTCGCGAAGTAGCTTATGGAAGGAGACAGTTTACCAACAATTGCCATGAATGACCCTGTCACAGGAGCTGAAATATAATTTCTGCACAAAACGATCTTGCCCTTCCGAAGCAATTCATTCTGCTTAAGGAGGAGAACCGAGTATGGAATGCTGCCCCTCGCTAAACTTGAGGTAACCTCCATGTCCTTCAGTTTGCTCGTGGACGAACGTAATTGAAAGCGATCCCAGATTTTTGACGAGGGACTGGCTGCCTGGCGTCGGCTAGATTACGCCCAGCTCCTCCCGACTGCAATCAAACTGTCACTGCACTGTCGTCCCTCCGCTGCGCCAGCACCTGTAACTCTCTGATCTCATCAGCGCCCCCCGAACAGGAAAGAGCACCCCTTGCTCCATCCATTTGGGCCTTCGCCGGAAGTTCTCGCCGTCAACAACTGGCGTCCTCGATATCCGGGAATCCTGTCCAACCTTTTTGCTTTATTTGCTTGAATCTTAAACGGAGTACAACTCCACCTCCCGGTAGCCCACCTTTCAAGCCGTGTTTCAATAAACTCACAATCCTTTGCCGAGAAGGCTCCTGAACGGAGTCCGACTATTTTGGAAAAGGATGAGGCTTCCACCAAAAACTCACCGTCTTGTCGTCCATATCGACCCGTCCCGATCCCCATCTCGTTTAAGTCACGTGATCAGCAGACCATATTAGTTAGACTTTCTCATAAAGAGTCTAGAAGAGTACACAATAAAATAACCAAAAAATATATAGGAACATACATCAAGAACTACTAATTATGAAACGAAACGGATTCACTATGGCTACGGTCCATTGTAATCACAATATGTAATGCATATATTATCACTTTGCATGTCAAACGGGTTACAAACAACTCTTCTAAATGGAGAAACATAATTGCTTTCATGTGGATTGCCACAACTAATGTTATTACGTACAGTAATGGAAACATGAAATCAAAAAATACAGACAATCCTATTCATGTCCCGGTTCGGTAGTTTGTCTCGCACTCAGTCGTAATCAGGTCTTACAATGCATCTGTACCTCACTGTTAAATACCAGAAAGCAATAAAATTGATAAATTTGATGTACATTCCACTCAACCGGCTCCATAATGATAGACGATCAAACCTTTTGAAACTATTCAGGGTGAGAGTAGTAACCAGCATCTTTGCTTTACTGACCTAGTTAACCTAGTTAGTTTACAACTAGATATACATGTGCATTCATACTAGGATACTATCAGACACTATGATTATAGTACATGCATATCCACTTTTAAAGTAACATATCTACATTACTTTTAATTAAATTATGGTGCACTAGCGTCAGATTTTCACCCTCTTGTTAATAGCAAACGCCGTAGAGCGAACGAGATATGGATGGTTATCCTTTGCAATCCAGATGTACAATAAATTACATGAACATCTGCTACATGTAAAATTATACTACACTCATATGGAGCTAAGTGTACCAAGTCATATCATGAGAATCATCATCTTATGATAAGTAACTAGTGAAATAAAGAAACATTTGAAGCAGGCTTAAACAAAAAATCACAAGTTGCAATTTGTGGAGCAGATCCTAATTCCAGTGTACAAAACGATAACATATATTGATAATAGTAGGGTAATTTATATATCAAATATGATGAACTGTAGACCTTTAGTAAAATAGCTAGATATCAAGACTTATTTCCAAGCATATCATATTTCAATGCATTCTGAAATATTAAATGTACAAAATTCATGTTATAATCAATTGTTTTGCATACACTCCAAATCTCTATATGATAATAATAAGAATGCCAAGGATGCTTTAATATCTACATTTAAAATTGATTCAACTGAAGTCCTTTGCATCAATAAAAAAATTAATCTCCACACAATATTACCAGACGTGTTGATCAACGTGTAAAACCTTTAAACTCGTAGATATCCTTAATCATCCTATTCAATAAATCTCAGATGAATATAGATGAAATTCAACAAAATGTAGGTGAATTTTTAAAAATAATTGTGATACATTCTGAGATTACATTTATCAGGACATGAGAAGTTCACTATCGGGGAAAAAAAAACATAGCATATATAAAACATATATGCATATAAAGGTGTGTAAAAAAAGGTGCTTGACAGTTAGGTTGACCCTTAAGTCAAAATGTACAAGTCGTACGAGTATATAGTACATTTTTAGAAATATGCAACGAACATTCATTCCAAATATAATAATTTGAATTCCAGATGTACAATATAAAAGTGACATCTTTAGAAATAATTAATTTATTAATTTATATTCTACATGATTAACAAGTTTCCTCAATACGAAAATGACATACTATCATGGAAATCAAATCATGGATTTGAAAAAATATCAATAATCATTTTGATATAAAATAATATTGAACTTTTTCTATGTTGAATATTTATTACTGATTGTAGATTGATGACTATTATATTTTAAATGTATGAATTAAAAAAATATATGAACTTACATGCAAAACAAATCAACTTGAATGAGAATCAAACAATTTTATGATGAACATGAAACCACCAACTTGACAGTTGATGTGGGTAAAAATGTTGTTAAAAGTGTGCAAAATATTGTTTCAATATGATTAAATATATGCTATAAGAGCTTGATAATATTTGGTCAAATGTACTCGTGTATTTTTTAGTGTGAACATTCTGCTACTTAAGTTTATAGTGTGATTATCCACATCAATTGTGTAACTACTTAACAGCAGGATCTTCATTCGTGCAACCTCCTCACAATGCATGACGTGGTATAACTCAATGAAATCACACACATAAATCAAATTCGACAGATCGCCCATATCTCTTTATTCTATTTTTCATAATGTTACATATAGCTACGTTAGAAACCAAATCGATAAACTCGAAAGAATCTTCGATACATTCTCATTGTTTGGCAAAGAAAAATCTCGCGATTTTGAAAACATCTTTAACCTTCTTTCATATTTCCTCCACTTTTACCGAAGACAACGAATGCTACAATTGCAGTCCACTGAATAAATAATAAACCTACATCACATGAAATGAAGGGAAATACCATATTCTTTCGTCAGGCAAAATTTGCGAAATTGCAGAAATAGCGATGAGAAGCGAAATTTACGCTTCCCTGTTCACTAGACACAGACAGAAGACAGGTGAAAGATTTGGGTGGGGTCACCTACCGAGTGGGGGTTTGTAGGTCAGGACAGTGAACTACGTGGTAAGTAGAAAATTATGTAGCCGGCCGCCGCGTGACGAAATGAGGAACTGCGTACGCAGTGGGAAGCGGAAGGAAGCTGGAGACGGGGTATTGAGTCATTTGTGTCGATGTTCTGGATTCCTTTTGGGGTTAGGGTTGCTCGACGAGCTGCACGAGAACGAGAGTAGAGCGCTCTGAGGGACAGGAGAGTGCACCAGTTGGTGGCTTGAGAGGAAGAAGCTGCAGCGAGCGATGGCTGTGTTCACAGGATTTGCAGTGCCGGAAGTGGCAGAGAATGCCGATGGATGGGGCCCTGGCGCTGCTAGCGTTCCCGCCAGTCTGCAGCACGTACCCTATGCGCCGTTCAGCAAGGCAGATCGTCTTGGACGGGCTTCTGACTGGACCGCTCAAGCTTTCAAGTTCAACGCAGGTGGGCTCAGATTCTCTCGCTTTTTTCGTTTATTTGTGCCATCGATCGATTGATTCGATGTGTTGTGGTCGGTACATCACGGCAGGGAAAATGTTACCTTTGGTCGCCATGTCTTCAACTTTTGTTGTGAGAAGTCATTGATCTTTCGTGCACAGAGGGATCTAGAAATCTAACCCTGATGGAAGTCAGTGTTTAGAGCGAACGGGTTTTGTTGTTTTGAACGGACTTATTAATAAGTCCAGAGATCGAAGTTAATATCTCAGCATTGCAAGCAACATGTTCTATGCGTTTGTTTTCGTGGGCACGTGCACTTCTGCAATATAATTTAGGTTGGTCGGTTCATGATTTTAGGTCGTTTTGACCGCAACAACAATGGGGTGAACACCGTCTTCAATTTCTTCCACAACGACGACGAGGTGAACTCAGATTGAATTGAGAAAGCTTTTGTTCTTTGAGCTCCAAGGTATTTCCATTTTTTCAAATGTGTGGAGACTAACAATACATGGACAATTCCAGGATTCATTCCATCTGGTCGATACACGACCACCACCTAGGCCCAAGTATGGTGCGAGAAGATTCCAACAGGTATTTGACCATTTCCAACATTCACTCTGCAAGTACAATAGGGAGTCAAGGTTATATTCGTTTGTTGTGGATCTCGTAAAAGCAATTCCTGACTATCACTGTCGCCGCGAATGTTCCAAACAGCGATTTCAAAGAAGGGATCGTGACGAAGGCAGACGGGATGGAGGACGTGATAGTGGTGCTGGTGCTGACCGAGAACGGCAGCGACGCGAGAGATTGCAGCAGCAAAAGAGAGGCCAATGGAACGCCTACTGGCAGGACAAGAATGCTCCTCGTGTTGTTTACAACAGCTCGGTGAGCATATTTTGTGGGCATGTTGATAGTATGTTTGCCCTGCATCAAATCAATATACTACATTTGCTAGTATTACTGCGAGTGTAACCCTGCCTCGGTTTGAGGTTCTGTGTAGGTGGATATTCGACCAGAATGGACGGTGTTGGAACAGATACCCTTGACCTCTCTGTCCAAGCTCAGCTATGACGTTGGTGAACCAGAGGACATGTACGCCCCTGCCCCGTTTGAGATTGGGTCTTCTCAGTTTAGTCAAAGTTTGTCACGCTCGGCGAGCGCTGGTTGCTACTTGTATGACAGCTAGTTGAAGTTAAAGCTAGCACATGTGCCTGGTTCTGATCTTCTAGCGGCAAAGTCAAGATTATTATTTAGGCTTTTCTCGAAATGATTCAGTTTTGTTTCTTGCGCAGCACCACCTGTGGTACCCTTGAGTACTATGACAAGGGTTACGATCGCGTTACCCCCAAGGTATCTGTTATTTCCCCATTACTCCGATGGGAGCTTCATCTCTTCTTCATCTCAGTGTAGCTAGTATATGTTTGGTTCTCACAACCGGTATTTTCATGTTTCAGACTGAGCGACCTCTGGAGCGCTTTGAGACTAGACAATTTTACAAGGTGACCACTACGGATGACCCAGTCATCAGGTGAGCATGACCTCCACTTTACCTCTCTCTCCTCATCGGCAAGCCTCTTCTCTTCTTTAAATGTAGTGTATCAAATTAAGGCTGGGAACAAAGGAGTGGACAATTTACTTAACTCTGTTTGGTTAAATTTAGAGTACTTGACACGAGCTGAACTTTGAAGAAGATATTATCTATCACAAATGTGCCAGGCAGACCACGTCGAGGAGAATTCCTATAATATTGATAAATTTATGCTATCTTGAACACCAACAGAGAGGACGATGAATGAGAGTTTTGTGTCGAGTGTGCCACCCATCAAGGGTTGACAGCTTACGAGCCATTGGATTGACAGTCTAAGTGGCACGAGTCTTCTGGCATCAGCAAGCCACTCAATTTTTTGTTAGGCATTGATCATTGCATGTGATGTCAGGAGTGTGATTATAAGTGCCCTACATGGACGTCGGACATCCTGTTTGGGAATTTTGTGATCTTGAAGCCATTATTCTTTTCACTCTTTTAGAAGTCAGTTCTCACAGACGCTCGCTTCCAAAGTCTCTTCAAGTGTATTAGTTGCCTTCTACGAGAGTGACATTCAGCTACTTCTATCATTCTGTTACTTCACACCTAGTTTTTACAAACCATACTTATTGACCTCTATGCCATCTCTGATGTGTATATAAATAATCTTATCCTAGACTGTTTGTTCCCACTCCGAGTTGGCGGCTCATTTTGAAACTTAATTATCCACAGCCTTGACGCCTGATCACGAACATGAGCTCACCTTGTTACATATACTCTGACTCTGCTCTTGTACTGTGCTCTCTAGCGTCCATACTTACTAATAAACGTATGTTTTGACTAATGTACTTTAAGGCGTCTGCTGTTGGAGAACGAGCAAGTTGGCACAGTATTCGCTACGGATGCCATTCTCTCGACTTTGATGTGCGCACCCCGTTCAGTTTATTCATGGGATATTGTTGTCCAGCGTGTTGGTAACAAGTTGTTCTTCGACAAGCGTGATGCGTCATTTGATTTGCTCACAGTAAGCACCCTGCTCCCGTTCTCGTTCTTCTACTTGACAAAGTTTTTTACTTCTTCGATATGAGGAGTTGGGGGTCAAAACCGGACTGAATCCGTTTCCGTACAGGTCAACGAAACTGCCCAAGAGCCAATTCCAGAAGAGAAAGACAGCATTAACTCTGTGCACTCGTTGAGTCAAGAGGCGACCTTCATCAACCAGAACTTCTCTCAGCAAGTTCTGCAAAAGGTAAAGACCATTGATGTTTGCTTCTTACGAACCGTATGCCGAACTTTGCTGTGACTGAGCGAATTGACGGGATAGGATTTTGTACCGTTGCAGTTCCATATAGTTCACGTGCTAGTGGGTGCTACACTCTGGTACCTGACTTCTAAACTATGTTCTTTCTAACCAAGGCAGTGGGGATGTTGGAACGTCTGTTGCCTACTGTCGAATGTTTTTCAACTAACTCTCGTGAGCCAATTTGATCGACAGGAATCCAAGAAGTACGAGTTTAAGGAACCTAATCCTTTTGCATCCGAGAATGAGGAAGTTGCGTCTGTTGCTTACCGCTACCGCAAGTGGAAGTTGGACGAGGTGAGTTTTTGGTTTATTTCAATTTGCTTGGGTTTGTTCTTCTGAAGGACGAGATCCACCGTTAGTATTACCAACAAAGAAGATTTAAATCTCGCCTTGATGAATCGGCAACTCAATCTTATGTATCTGTTCTCACTCTTTTGGTCGTCTGAGCAGGAAACGACCCTAGTTGCTCGATGCGAACTGCACAGCGTAGCAGAAGTGAAGGGTAGCGAGGTTCTCCTCACTGTCAATTCTCTGAACGAGTTTGACTCCAAGATCACTGGAGTGGACTGGCGTCAAAAGATCGAGAACCAGAGAGGAGCTGTATGTCTTACGAGTGGCTGTTTCTATTTTTAAAATGTCTTTGTGAAATTCAAAGCTCAGTTTAGCTCCTTCCACGCTATCAAGACAACTAGATTTGTAGGATTACAGTTTCAGGAACGTCTTACCGCACAGTTTTAATGAACACGTTTCCAATTGGCTGTATTGTCACATCGGATTTACTGTGATAGGCAGGTGCATTACATGATTGGGTTCTGGTGAGATCTGATTGTGACTTGTACTCCTGTCAATACTCAGGTTTTGGCTACTGAGCTGAAAAACAATGCAAACAAGCTTGCGAAGTGGACTGCTCAAGCTCTTCTTTCTGGAGCAGAGCAGGTAAGTTACAGCAGTCGTTAGTAGCTCACCAGAGGGGTTCACCATTTTCTTTTGATGGCCTTGCCCTCCTTTGTCGTTTACACAGCTTAAAACTGTTCTCAACCGTTTACTTGTTTTCTTACAGATGAAGCTGGGATATGTGTCCCGAGTGCATCCCAAAGACCATTACAACCACTGCCTGTTGACAGTGCAAGGCTACAAGCCTAAGGAGTTTGCAGCGCAAATCAATCTGAATGTGAACAACATGTGGGGTATTTTGAAGGTATGGAAGTGCATGCTGCGTTTGGCTAATTAGATTCTCCTACTTCCGATCAAGGAATTTGAAGGTGATAGTTTACATTGTTCCTTCAGATTACGCGGATAAAGCCCTCGTAGAGTTGCGTTCTGTGGAAGCGAGATTATTGAGGATTCGTCGCGTAGTGACATAGCTTAGGTCTCATTGTTCACATACTTTATCTAATTTTTAGGGCCGATTTTAACGAACGAGTCAATAAGATTTTATGTGTTCTTTGGAACTGAGGTAAAGTTTCGTTGGATTTGGAAGTTTCTGACGTCTTTCTTTCTTGATCGCTGTCATTAGACTATTGTTGACATCTGCATGAAGCTCGACGAAGGCAAGTACCTTCTTGTGAAGGATCCTAACAAACCTATAGTCAGGTATGTGTAAAAGATACTGCGAGTACATTCCGAGTTTTTAATCTTCCCAATCACGAAGTGAAGTTGATATCCATTGGTGTTCGATGAGCACTGAAAAAAGCTGTAATAGTTCTGGGTATTTGAGGATGAAAGCGATGTAATTATTCTCAATGTCCGACGCATTTTGTATTCCAGGCTTTACTCGGTACCCCCAGATGCTTTTGAGAACGATTACGCAGAGGAGCCTCTACCCGAGGTAACTTTCCAAATTCTCGCTTTCAGGTCTTGGAATCTTGAACTGATCTGAAAGTTTTGAACTTAGTATCATGGCCGTAAGAATTGGAAAGCCAGCAGACGAAGTCTAACACGAGATCCTTGTTGGGTGTTAAGGATGAGCAAGCGCCTCCACCGCCAGAAGCGGAGGAGAAGACGGAGCAGGCTGAAGAGAAAGAAGCTGATGAGATGCTGTAGAGCACCTGCAGTTTCGTAACTCATCATCATTAAGCATCACCTTGCAAGGAGCGAAGTCGGGGCTCAGTACACATGGGTTTTTGGATCTCGTGTAGTCTGTGACGCCTTTCGGTTCCTGTGATGGTACAGTGATTGCTCCTGACTTGCTGTAGGAAAGCTAGGTCACATCGCTGGCAGGTCATCTTGCTTCTTCCTCGGAGTGAGAGAGGGAGAGGTGTGCGTTTTTTCCTCAAAATCAGGCCCGATTTTGGTAGCACAGATTTGTAGATGTGTTTGAGAAGCGTTTGCGTAGATCATGGTTTAAGAGTTCAGGGCCTCGGCAGGCCCAGGTATTTGCGGCATCATTAGTAGCTGTTGCATCCTGTGATGAGAACGATTATTATAGGCATGAGGTCATCGACGGGTTTGACAAACCAACTAGATTCAGTTGTCAGTACATCAGTGCTCTCTTTCTTGATGAGGGTCAAATGTCAATTCACATTCAAGTGAGTACGAGCGGAGCTCAAGCTGTGGTTGGCGCCATTTGTACAAAAAGGAGTGAGTTACTAGAGGCGCTTTTCACCAGAGAAAGAATGTGGACTTTCGTAAAAGTAGTTTAAGTAACTAGCCGAGGAACACGCCAATCTTGGGTACCGTTGGCGTCAGTGAAATCTCTATCTCAACAGTGACGAGCAGGAATTTGGCCCTCGTCACGTTGAGTACTTGCTTGTGTACACAATTCAGGAAAGCTGAATGAAAAAAGTGACTCGAAAGAAGCTTGGATATAGCAGTGCGCCGGGCGGAAACAGATTTCCGATTAATCTCTTCAAGTGTAACTCGTTGGAGTCGTAATTTTAAACCAAACCTACGATCTGGATTCTCGACCGTAATCTGTTTAGTGTAAGTGTATGGGTTGAGTATTCATGAACCGCCTCGTGAGCGTTGACGAGGAAAGCATGGTTTGGCGAGGTTAGAAAGGGAAACGAATGTATGATGTCACTATGCAGTTATGGCCTAACTACAGAAAATCACGGAGGTTTTCACGTACTCACCAAAGCTCTATTTAAAACAGTAGTGTCTTGGTCTGGAAGTTAATACAGGTTATAGAATGTAACAATCAAACATTCTATGTGCCTTTATGCTTCCGGACGAAATTAATGTGTGCATCACTTTTTGATTTGATGTGAGTTTTATGGAAATTCTTTGGAGGACGAAGTATTCGTGAACGTAAATTACCAAGCCTTACATGTATTAAGCACCCGATATACAGGGTGTTGACACGTGACGTTATCAGTGAAAGGTCTGTAAACGTCAAGCGCACAGGTTAAGAATCTAAATTCTCGCTTCTCTTTGGTTCACCAGGCTCCCAGTAACAATCTTTTACCCTTTAAACCTTTTGAGTCGAGCCGTCATTTGAATATGTGATAATCGACTTTCAGGTAATGAGGAACAGAGAAAGTACGTAGTCTTTTATCTCCATCGTTTAGACTTTTTCCTCGCTGTATCGTGACAATCTAAATTCTTGAGCAAGCACATTGGTGGGGTTAGAACCAATTCAGAATTTAGGGTTTACTATCGTCACCCGAGAGTGCCAACTACAGACTGTATCGAACCTTATGGATCCTGGAAAGATGGAGTGGAAAGCATGGAATCCAATCGCTTTTACTTCATCTCACCCAAACTCCAAATTTCCTCCCTGGCTTGATCTTGAAAGTAGCGTCGCATTTTGGCAATTACGAACATTTGATACCTGCTAACCATGCGGAGGAAAAGGTGTGACGCCAGTTCTCGACCTCGACCGGGTAACTCACATGATGCTGAGGCATCGCCCATCCAGCGGGGCTTTGAGATTTTCATCCCCAGGCCTTTGCGACGGCCAGCGAGAGAATACGACATGAGACGGGCTCGATGGATATTCTTGCCGCAGATGCCTCTGCTCCCGCCAAGAAGAACAGAGTGACGTCACTGAAGGATGAAACCGAGCAGCCAGTGCAAGTCTGCCGCAACCTTGTGCACAGAGCTGACTGAGGTTGCACAAGTTTCCACGCACCGGCAGCAATAAACAGAGGAAATTTTCCAAAGTGAACGATGCACATTGACCGCTGTTGATGCGTCATTAACGAAATGATTACAATGATTAACGAAACTCGAAACTCGCGTCCGGCATCAGCTCCAATGACCATTTCCAGTATTTCCAGTCTGGATGGTACGAAGTCTTTCTCGATGTTGAAAATCGAAATGTTACGGCGGGTGAGAGGTGCGCCTCCTCTGGGGAACTACTGCAGACTTGTGCCGAGTCCACGGCGCAAAAGAACACATTGAATATGCAAAGATTTACAGCTCGAGTCCATGCAACGCACTTATCGTGCGCGATTTATAACACGTTTGTTTTTCGCTCCCGGATCTTATCGTGCTTTTGCAATGAATCGAATCTCCATGGCAGAGCAGGAGGGCCTACGGTTTGCACAACGAGCGCACAAGCCTAGCTTGCACACTTTGACCCGGAACGCAATTAGTCGATGGAGTGCCACTTCTCACCCACGGAGACCGAGAAAGACTAAATCCCAAAGCTGTTGAAATGCTGCTGGGAAATCCTCCGCAGTTGTGTGAGCGCGGAGTGAAGAGGATTTGACCAGCGCATCTAAGCGCAAAGGTGGTTACCTCTTGACCGGGTCGTGAACGAAGATCTACGCTTGCGCACGAGGTGGCCCGCTAACAAGAAGGGCAAGAACTGCTCGACGATTTGATGCACCGGAAACATCCGCAGATTCCTTGAAAGTCCAAAGAAAAACCTGTCGCCGTGTGTTTGCTTGGAAGATTGCGGCCTGGAGTCCAGGCCGCAAAAGTGGGGGAAAGTGGAGTCCAGGCCCTGGACTAACGACAAAATTTTGTGGCTCGCCCGTGGCCTTTTGCCATTGACCTTGCGCTGTACAGCCATGGCTTTTTCTCCATGCCCTGCGTGGTCGTTTTGTGTGAGCCTTGGCTCACACAAAACGACCACGGGACCAAACCCGAGTCCTGACCCCAACAAAAGCATCACATGAAGGGACATCGGCCATTCCTCTTTCCCCGAGAGCTTGAGATGAAAGAGTGGATTACATGTCCGAATGGCGTTCAACTCATTGGCCCCAGTTCCGGCAGGCACAGACACATCGAACTGGTATCTTTGACTCAGTTAAGCCCTGATGCACTTTTCGAACCCTGATACATTGTACCATCGTAGTCGCTGCATTATTTTTCTCGAGAGTACTTCAATAGCAAGGTGCTGATGCTTTGTTGATTAAACTATTCGTGTACATTTAGAACAGGAATCTCCTTTTACAGCGGAATATAGCTCTTTTCCCCAACACATGTCTCGCTACACCACCAATGATGAATTTCCGCAATTTCGAAATCAGTTCTCGCCAAGGCGATGAACCCGCGATTCGCCAAAAGTCTTCTAGACAAAGGAAAGCGTGGCAAACATATGGTAAGAGAAGTTGAGGCAATTACTGACTGTCTCATGGCAGTTTGAAGCCAATCGCATCAGGTCGTATGCGTTTCCAGTACGATGTGGTATGAACAGGCATGGTTGTATTAGGCGACCGTATATTCGGTCACCTAAATTACCTAAACTTGATAGTGATTTGGCGACTAAATTAAGTGAGTTACGATTTGGCGTGTACATGTTATAAGCAATGGAAAGTGGACACGTATGTAGAATTGATAGATTTTAATTTTTTTTATATATTAATGTAATTTTTTTAGTAAAAAATTTTGAAAAATTTTTACTCTGAAAAAACAGTTTAGTAAACTAAATTAGCCTAAATTAAAATTTTAGAAATTAAATTGATCTAAATTACCTTTGTAGTTTACTAAATTAGCCTAAATGAACTTTGTAAGGAGACTAAATTCGCCTAAATTAATGTTTTTAATAAACTAAAGTAAATTTTTCGAGGAGACTAAATTATACGTATTTAGGTAATTTAGGCGGGAGACTATTTTATCCATGCCTAGGTATGAACCGACTGTACAGCATCTCACTAAGGTATCGACTTCGTGTTTTCTTATTGTTTAGGAATTAGACTAAACCGTAACGAGGTAACTCTTGTGACCCAGACCATGCTTTATCCCACGACTGGTAGATTTGAGTCGTGAATCCCTTCTTGTCCACAACTAGCTGGTGTCGACAACAGGATGATGGATTTGAGGTGGGCAAATCTTTGGCATGTGCTTCAAAGCCCATACTCATGACAGCAAAGCGCTGTGTTACCGTTATGAGCTCATGAGCTTACACTCGACGATGCTAAAGGTGCTTGTTCCGTTGTTTTATGCTTTGTTACATCCCATTAATTGCATACAAGGCCGTCCTTCCAATATTCGCTTACATTGTGGTTAAATATCTTGTGCACATCATTACTGTTACCATTGGGTTGAACATTTCCTAACAACATGGCGAGCAGCAACGGCATCTAAACTATATAAAAACATGTGCGCGTTACTATGTGCGCGTTTTGAACTCCCATTACCCAGAAGGCCATGGCGGTTGTCCAAATCGGTATGAGCTTTCGGATAGCAGGGCTTCTGGAGAGAATTAATTCATCCAAGGAGAATTGGAGACTTGATTAATCGACGGAGCACTAGGAGTGTGTCTTGGTGTTCGTGTACACATTACAGAGATGAATCTTAAGTTACGGTGAGAATGAGTTAATCAACTGGCCAAAAGACACACCTAAAGGTATTATTATAGAAGTATAAAATGATGCTTTGGATATCACTCCACGACAACGCTTGAAGTGTAACTATCGTCCGCATTATGCCAAATAGGCATGGTTTAGGACGAAGGAACTTACGTGCACACATTACCATTGTCGAGGCTCCTGAGGAGTGACCACCAAACGACAGACGCCCCTCATGGCGTCATGCGTAAGAAAGATGTGCGTGCTGGAGCGCAGGTGACAGAACGGCATGGCTCTACCTCGAGTGCTGCTGGAGCTACAAAACCCATAGGAAAAATCCGGAATGGGAAAACCGGTAATCCGGAGTGAGATTTCTTCGAAGAGGAAAAATGGACTTTCTGGACAGCATGGATGGACATGCTTTTCGCACAAGGAAGGAAGATTCTGCAGGTGGAGAAGCCGTGCAGTGGATCTACGCTGATAAGACAAGGATTTGAGAATGTAAAGACCGGATTCTTCTGGAGCAAAGCAGTAGTAGTCTCGAAGTCGATCTCATAGCGCATGGTTGACTATCATCTCTTGATCGGTAGGTAGCAGTAAGGCAAGAGATAAGTACATCAGACAATTGCAAGGCGCAGCAACATTTGACTTTAAGTTTTCTTTCGGCTCACGATAACTCGCAGAATGATAGGACGAAATCACTTTCCCAGTAGTGCCGTGCTAGTTGGCATGAAAGAAAACCCTACCCAAAGCAGATTTGGTCTTTGTCTGTGAAGCATTCAGAAGCTACTGGATTTCAGAGGGAAAGGAAAAGTTCACAATGAAACAAGCACCCAATTGGAGCGATAGCTGTGCGCATCGCATTTTTTGATGTTTGAAACTCCAGCAATGCGCCATGTCTTCATCAATGGTGCCATCTATGGGTGAAATCAAATGCCTAGAAAGGGTGGTAGGAAAGTACACACTACAAATCCTAGAGAACAAAGATCCAAAGAACAGGTCCAGAAACTGGTGCCATGCATTGTTGTTGTCGGAGCGAACAGAAGTGTCCAACAAACGATGTATTGCAACCTCATTTCAGTGACCGAAGCCAGAGCTGTACTGCTCATGCACGGTCAAGTATCTACAACTTATCAAACATCGTATACAGTATAAAATTCTGGCTAGATGCAAAGTTCTGATGGTCTCATCAAAGTATTGCACGTTTTGCGTTGCTCATCTGCACTTATGAGCAACATAACCCTAAAAAGCGTTAAAAAAGTTTTGCCTTCATCTCAGTAGATCGTGATGGGTGTGGCCAAAGTTCTCCCCCTTCCATCTGCCCTCTCGTTCTGTGCTGGACGTATGTCAACCCCAGGGTTTGAAACTGTCTGTTTTGAATGCGACTTTCTGTAAAATGCTATGCCCTGAACTCGCCTGATATTTCCAGAACGCAGCTTTAGTCCATCCGACACCGAACTCGAGCCAAAGGGGGGAACACGGAGGCTGCAGCCATGAGGTCCAGAGAGATTTCTGAGCTTCATTCAGAAGCTAGAAAAAAGTAGATTATCATCAAAGCAGGAAGATCTTGGGCGCATGCGGGCGCACAGAAACCGATGGAGTGGTTCTTCACGGTGTCACAGATGTGCCCTGCAGAACTCCTCTCAGAGGCAAGCAAGCAGAAGGGAACTTTAAGATGGAAGTGAGTTGTTGAGTGACCAATTGCGACCACCAGTACCACAAATTACCAAGATGGCGAACAGACTGACAACAAACATCATTGGTACATCCACTAGCTTTGAGCAATTCATGATGCCTCGGATGATCAGGACTATGAGTGATAACCTTATCATCAATCACGAGCTAGTGATTAAGGTTACAATCTCCCAGAAAAATAGATAAAGAGGATGCGGCATTGCAGCGACAATGGAGGCTTTTTAGTCAAAGGCCGGAGATTGGGGTTGTCGATTTCCCACGCTTACAGCACACAAACCACAGAGCAGCGCCTAACAATGATTTTCAAACAGTGCTCGCAATGCACAGACGAAGGAGTCAAAGTCGGCAATAACTTGCAAAATCTCAAGCTTCAGCCCAAAGCAGTAATCATAGGTAACGACAAATCTGAACTCATCTTCGGGAGAGGCAAGATGAGAAGATTGGAACGGCCACATCAACCTAGAGTCCATCGACCTCAGAGCTAGTTGGCCTTCAAATTCTCAACTCACCATAATACATGACGACGTCTACAATTCAAAAGACACCTTTCACTTGTATAGATTGAGTCTTACAATACAGATACACTATTTTGTAATTCCGACATATTTTGCGGGTGTTTGTTAAATAGTTGATTCTTACTCCTATTTTATAAGTGCACTGCGGAGGTTGATGGTAATGCCCTTCATCACCGCACATTGGTGTCACTTTAGCGCTGCTTAGATAGTTGCAGTAAGTATTTGACCAAGTCCGAGTTATCCATCAACGGATAAAGTCCAGACTCCTTGATGGTTGACATTTTATGAGTTCTAATTATTTTTTCATGAATAATAATCATGAAAATATGATTTTAAAAATATCATAGCATCAAATGAAAAGGAAATGAAATTTCTTAACATCCACTTCAAATAGATTCAAAAAATATACAATTTAATCAAATGTGTTGAAAAATATATCATCTTCACATATACAATGAAGTGCATGCAAATTACATGGTTCATCTTTGAAGAGACGAAGAACAACACGAAGGCTTTACTCAAGATTTCTAAACTTATGTCACATAGAGCTACATTAGTATCTGGCTAATTACGCAACTTGAACCTCAAAGGATTGTACGTATTTAGCCGGTAGATGTGCACTTTAGTCAAATCATTTTCTAATTGTTAGATTCGGTTGCAATGTTGAAAAAAAAATTTTAAATGACTTAATGAGCCCAGCAGTGCAATATTATGGAGAAGCTGCAATGTTGAAGAAACCAAACATGAAACTCCTCAATGAATTCCAACAATGCAATGTCATGGAAAACTTGTAATGTAAAAGATATTGAACGAAAAATGCTTCATTGAATCTCAACAAAATGATATCATAGAGAAGCTGAGGAAGAAGAATGCTCTAGTAAAAGGGATATAATGCGAGTATGTTGTTAGTGAAGGTGTGAGACAAGTGAAAATAAAACCCAAAGCGATTTGGCTTAATATGTGATGAATCTAAAGAGAAACAAACTTTTAGATCAAAACATAAATTTATGATACTTTCTTGTTCCTTTCATTGAGCTTGAAGATCTGCTTTACATCTGGATGATGCATGCGTTGTGTTATTCAGCCTGTTCCGCTATCTCTTGCCATTGCCTTAGCAAAAATTATTGCATCAAATTTATTAATTTTTGAAACAAACTTCAAGCCATGTTGGCAATGGCTAGGTTGATATAGAGTGCGCAGAGTGTTGCAAAAGATGTTGTTTGAGAAATCTATTCATGGATTGATAGCAGCTTTAGACAGTATCTACAATATTTTTGCCGAATATGATACTGAAACATTTACAATATGGACAAAACTGACTTGTTTTTTTTTTCAACTAGCGAGATACAGCCTTCTAATGCCAACTGAGGACATATCAACCACAAGAGTAAACAAAAAAACCAAAAGATCTGTTTCCTCTTATTGTGTGTGTCAATGCTGTGAAAACGTGGGAGCATGTGCATGTATCAAGGACCATCAATGACATGTTACATATTTTAATCAAGTAAAAGTTTGATGAACGTTGAAACTTGCTGAAAGTGATTCAACGACGTTGCAATTTGGAAAAATGTTGAAGAGTTTTTACAGACTATGATTGCTGAAGAAAAATTGACATATGACAATGATGATGACATTTAATCCCTCAAGATTCAGAATCAGGTTAGATTATAATGTTGTATTTAAGTAATTTCAGTCATTTTATAAGCAAGTGATTGATATAGAGTATCATTTGCTCTACTTCAAAGTTTGAGAAAAGGTCAAGGAAAAATTATATAACCTTGGAAAGTTGTTTCACTCGTTCCAAAATAAGTTCCTTGTTGTAACTTTGAAAGCCAATCAATGACATGTTAAACTAAATGAATCTAAAACCTACTTTTTTGAAAATCAATGTGCACTCAACCAAAATACACACTTAATTTTGATGTGCATCTAATCCTCTTACATGGATACGAACTAACTCTGGTTTAACTAATTAGAATAACAAGGCAGCATTTTATTTCTGAGAATAAATATATATCACATTTCATATTTTTTGGAAACATATAATATTTTTATTCCAATTAAAATTAATACTCATTTACCACCAAGATTTAGGCTAACATGCTTTACATCAATCACAAAACTCACAGAATTTTTACAATAAAAATTTAAGCTTGTATCAGATTTTTTTAAATATTTTTTAAATTTATCAATAATTTTTTATTTCTAACTAATAGTCAATTAATTAAAATAAAATATTTAATAATAAATTGAAGCAAAAAATAGTGAATTCGAAGTAATATAAACTATTCTAATATAATTTTATCATATGTTAAGAAAAAATAATTCTAAAAAATAATTTGAATTTATTTTTAAAAGATGTTAAAATAAATCATCAATTAAATTAACGTTTAGAAATTTATATACATTAAGTTAAGAAAATACACCTATATATGATCAAAGAATATATGCATATATATAAAAAATTATAAAACGATCAAAATATCCGAACTTGAATATTAACTTGAATATATGGTTTTTGTTTGCATTTATATTTAAATGAATTTAATTAATTTTATTAAAATATTTTTGAATCAAATGATGAGGTTGATGTAATATTTTTATGAAATTTATTTTCACATTAAAATTGGGATATATAAAAATGATAAAAATGATTTAGAATAAATATATAGTCTCACAACATATAATATTTTAGTCTTTATTTTATGAAATATAGGTTAAGGCTTCCCTGTCAACTCCTGGTGGAGGTTGTGTGGGGCCGGGATATCAACCTGGACACGGCAAATGTCTCCGGCGGCAATGTACTAAAATTTATAGAGCGGCTGTGACCCCCTCTGGGACCAGATATTGCCCAGGGTGCTGTGAATCGATTAGCCGATTGGTTCCAGGACGAGCTGGTAGTAGGTATAGGCGTGAAATGAAAATTATTGCTTCAAATTTTTATTTGTAATCAATTAAGAATATTCTTATATATACGACATAAGTCATTCATAACATTCAAAATCATATGAAATGTAAATTTATAACTATTTTTTATGCTTATGATGATTTATTCTGCATAAGTTTTGTATGATGATTGTAAGATCTTTCACTACAATTGCTTGCTTTAATTAAAAAAACGTTATTGTGTGATTCGAATGTGAAATATAAATTTATCATAAGATTTTTTTAATTTAATTTCTAAAATTTGAAAAATTAGCTATGCATAATTTTCATATGATGAAATAATATATTAGTAATGATCATGTATAATTCAAATTTGATCACGTATTTATACAATTGTTAATATTATATTGATGTTATCACTTAACTAAGTGTTTGTAATTTAACATGTCTAATAATGATGATTCCGAGAATATTTAAATTCTCATTTAATTTCATTTTTGATTGAAAATATGATGTTTCATATCAAGCAAAAATTTGATTTTAAAATAAAAAATATGTCTTATAATTTTTAAATCATTTTGGATTTAATGACCTATAAGATAATTGTTGTTCATTGTTGAGTTTTGATCAGTCATATAACAGAATCAAATTTAAATCAAAAAATATCGTATGATTGATTGTTGTTTCATATTGAAATGTATTTTATTTTTTAAACATACAAGATGATTTTGATGACTGTTGATGACAGGAATCATGATACAGGAATAACTTTGATATTTGACTCAAACTAGATTTTTTTACTTATAACTTGATCATTCGAAGAAAAAAATAATCACAATTTTTACATTCAATAAAACTAGTTGAGTTTAATCGGAGAATACATGTTCATATTCAATATTGTAATTTTTTGTTCATACATATATGATTGAAACAATCATGTATGATTGTTTGACACGTAGTGTAACACAAAATACATCATGCATGATATAGATGTGAGATTGTTTGTTTAGCATCACAAATCAATACCATTAATCCACAAAAAGTAACACATAAATCATAACCTCAATACATGCGATTTAAAATTAAATCTAATATTGAAGATAATGAACCCAATTGAACTGTTAGAATGAAAATTTATGTCAAATCATATAATGTAAATTTATAATTATTTATGCCAAAATAAAATCATAATTATATATTATACTTTGAAAAATCATCAATATCTTATCAACTGTTTATTATCATAATGTACACTAAAAATAATATTTCATTTGATTTAAATCTATGACACAATTAATAATTTTGTGTGTTCAAATTTTTGTTTATCTTTTTCTTCAAAACATATCAATATCATACCTTTTATCAATAAAACATTAAAAAATCTAGATTACATACAAAATAACTTACAATATAATTTGTTCTCTAATCTAGCATACTTTTTTGTCTTTCTATATTTATTCCATATTTCTAATGATATTTCATCTTCAAACATTCAAAAAATTTGTTGTAAATTTATTTTTTGATATGAAATTAGATAAAATAATATATTGTAAAATTTTCACAAATTGTTTCATTTTGATCTATAAACGTTTATCAAACAATAATTTTAGATGAAAGAAATCTGTTGAGGTTAATTCCAGTTAAGGCTCGAGGTTAACTGCGGTTAATGAGATTGAGGTTAACTCCGGTTAAGGCTCGAGGTTAACTGCGGTTAATGAGATTGAGGTTAACTCCGGTTAAGGCTCGAGGCCCCCTTGTACCGAAGCACTAGCCCTTCTCTATTTAATATATTCACTCTAACCCGTGACAGAGGTTTCTTCTGTAGAGTGAGGGATAATTAATCTAAACAGAGGTATAACTAGCCCCTCCTTTTATAAATTGCTATTAAACATACATCACAAAGTAAGCTAGATTGTCAAGGAGCAAGGATTTTAAATTTTTTTTTCCCATTTTTTGATACAGTCATTCATCTTGTAGAGTAAGAATATATGTGGACAAAAACATGAATAAATGACAATTTGACAACAAAGTATTGAAAATATCTCTAAATAATGGTCAGATGAGGTTGATATATTTTTTGATGCATACGAAAAACTAAGTGTT